TGCTGACTTTTTACAGTCAGATGTATCATTCATTGTGAGTATTTTATCTAAAAACAGGAATGTATCTTCAGCTGCCCCTTTGCTCTGGTTTCAGGCCTTAGTCTGAAAACCATCTGTAGTGTCACTGATGGTCTTGTTTGCTTTTGAATATTATAAAAATGCATCAATCTGAATTGTAGTCTATTCAAAAAACCTCCTTTAATATGATATGTTTATATACATCATGATAACATGATGTAAAAAGAGACACTGACAGAAACATTAGCACTCTGAATATTTTTTTTAAATATACTGTAAATGTTTCCCTTTTCTACTGATATTGAAACATAAATGTTGACCCCAAAGTGCCTAAAAGCTAACATTAGCTGTGATGTAACATTAGCTGACAGGTAAGACTCTCACCGTCTACTGTCTGTGTTAAAACTTAGCCATCATTTAGCTGTGAACTATCAGATTATCAAAGTTTATTTAACTGAGTTTCCCTCCTTAAGAGTGGCGTCACAAAAAGATGGCTGCCTTAATACAAGAAATTATAACATCTGTAGCAGGAACAAATGTTCTTTTGAGTGCTTCCTCTAAATTTCTCTCTTTTTTTCCACTCGCTGCAGGCTTAAAATAACAACACTGCAGCTAGAGGAGGATCTCTCATATCACCACTGCCATTTCACTCATCTTTGGAGTTGGACTTTGTACAGAAAAGAGGATTTAAAGAAAAAAAAAAAAAAGATGATCACAACAGCGACTACCCAGCAGCAGCCAGCATCCTCATGCTTTGAAGATTTTTTTTTTTTTCTAAAAAAAAGAGAATAAAAAGTGACTGCTCCTACTGCTTTCTCATATCTACATTCCCACTGGACATCATGTGAATTTTACAGTGTTGACTCTTGTTGAGCTCAAAGGATGATGAGGACGGTGCTGATGAAGAAGAGGACTTATGAAGTTGGACAAAGTGAAGTAAAGGAAGTTAAAAGAGAGGGAACGTGTGCTGGAAGGAAACCTGTAGGAGACAAAGCGACGGACGATTATTATCATTTTGGGTTTCACGTGTGGATAAAGTTCACGACTCAATTTTGTGGTTTTGGAGAATCTCACTCATAGTTTGTTCCCAAGCTTTAGTATTTTGATGTGAACAGGTATGAACTGGTGTGTTTGAAAGTTGCTGAATGTTTGTTTTTCAGATTGCTGGGATGAAAAAGGAAGGAAGGATAAAAATTAAAGGAAAGTAACCGAGCCTGAGAAGAGCTGTAGCATAGTGAAGAGTAAACCCCAGCAGCTGCTCTCAAAGACTTCTCCGTTTGGTTCACTGTGTTTTTCTTTTAAAGGAAAAAAAGTGCACTGAAATGCTTTGAAATCAAAAGTGGTAAACAGGTGATTGGTGTTCCTTTTACAAAGTAAGGAGTCTGCAAGTCGTGGTCCGGAGAGTGGAAAGTGAGATGACGGCATCGCAAAAATACGCTGAAATAGAAACACTCATGGAGCTGCGGTTATATTTGGAACCACTCAGGTTGTGTAGCGATGCAGTTTCACGAGTTTCCTGGCTGGTTGCTCTTTGTCAATGATCTGTATTAAAGAAGATATAAGGCATTTTGTTTATAAATGATTTGTGTTTCTGAAAAGAGAGGAAAAAAGGATAAATCTAAAAGTGTTTTTTATTTTTGTTGGGTTTTATATAAATGTATATTAGGGTCAAAAGGACAAAAAAAGCGGAAAATGAAGGAAAAAATCAACAAAAATGACCGACTTCTTAGTTGTATATTAATATCACATTGTTTGGAAAGCACATTTCATTTGATAAAGGCTCACTATGTTTGTAAACGAGAAATAACCGCGTAACTTAACTGTGTGTCAAATGTTGTCGAGTCACGCCAACAATCACTTATTTATATTTTCTATTTGTCTAAAAAGAAACAGAGGAAGTTTATCCGCTGAAGTAATGACTGATGCGTTAAGAGAAACCCCCTTGCGTCTTGAAAATGGATGCCTCGGAGGGGTCGGAGGTCAGATTGAGTCACTGGTACAGGTCAGAGATGGCAGTGTTAATAAAACCCATTCACTTTTCTTCTTGATGCATTCAGACTAAGTTGAACCCTCCTTCACCGGTGCATCTTAAAGAGAAATACACAGTCGTGAGCATGCAGAAAAACTGTACAGATGTTTATATTTTATTCTTTCCAAGTGCCAGTTTTTTGTGGTGTCATTTGGATATTAACTAATTCATATAAGTGAAATTCATGAGGAGGAGTTAAACAGGTGGATCCAGAGGCGCGAGACTATAAGAGTTTCATCACACTGTACAAAAAAACATCAAGTTTGGTCATATAGTATATATTTTTACAACGTTTTAGGGTGTGTGGTTGCGATATAGACAAGCAGAGGGATACGGAATCATATTGCCATTTTCTCTTGATTCACTTTGGAGAAAAAGAGAAGCCAATCCAAGTCGGTATCACTCATGCGTCATCAAGGCGAACGGCATGTGCCTGCATTGAAGTCTGATTTTCTTTGTGACGTATGTGACTTTATAAAGCTTGCATATTTTACACAGTGTTTACAAAGGTGTACGTTGTGGTAAAAATCAATAAACTACAAAAAAATCTTACTGTATAAATTTTAATTTCAGAGGTTAAAAAAAAAAGTTATAATGATAATACCCAGCATCCCTTTCGTGTGTCCTCAGAAGTGTGTGCTTTCATTGGACGATACTGAACCCTTTCAACAAAGACCCACATGACTGTCTTTTCCTGACTGCACTTTGCAGTAACACAACCAAAGGATCTGGAGTTGTATTTACATGCATTCATTAAAAATAGGGGTTTTTCCAGTTTTGTGGATGTGCAGCACATTGTGCATTTACAAGTTAAGAGCCAAGCAACTGTGCTGTTGAATAAATGCACGACACGGACACACAACGAATCAAACGAACCTACCTGTGTAGATATGACTGATTCAAGACCGTCAAAATAAAGTAACTGTACTACTCAGTAGCAGATGTGTTTGTACCTATCATGTGCCTTAACCTTTTCCATGGTAGATAAAAGATAAGTGTGTTTTATATAACTTTATTCCTCCTGTTCAACTGTCATCTCACCATCCTGTCTGTCCATCTCTTCCCAGGCCCCCCATCCTTTTTTCCCTCCACTCGACTCATTCATTCATTCATTCCTTCAGCATCCCCCCCACCCTCTACTGCCCTCCCCTCCCTAAACCCCATGTAGTTTAGACTGTTGGTGGGTTTCTGCCTTGTATTACGTTGTATTATAAACTTTTAAAAAGATAGAGACGTTCAAAGAAATGGTTTTGTTTTCCTAGAGGAGTAAAGTTGTTAATGCTTTCGTAGCGAGCAGAAGCAATGCCACAGTGACAGAATGTATTATGTTAATTTTACTAATACCCAGAGGCAAATATTACGCTTGTTAAACATAACGGAAAAATACTGGTTTGTAGAGTATAAATTTGGTGTGTTTTCAATAAATCATGCCTGGAAAGATAGTGTTGCTTGTCTCTGTGTCTTATTTAATAAGATGTTTCACATTTCCAATAAAACTTGATGTACAAATTCATGAAAAAGTGTGGATTTTTTTATTGCGAAACTACTGTATCTTTTTGTTGTCTTATTTCGTAATGTTCCTGTTGAATTTATGAACTTTATTTTCAATGCCAAGTCAATGTGCGATAGCAGAAATCTGGGACATGCTTCCATCAATATCAGTACTACAAGAAAAACCAAAACTATCTCCGAGGCTGTTAAAAAGTTGGTGAAAAGACAATTGAGTATTTAAAACTGATCATATATGCAGCATTTGAGATATGCTCCCTCCCAAATAATTGTGTGTTTACTCTACAGTAGGTCAAACATATTACCAGTATTGCAGGGACAAGTAAGCGAGAAGCAGTGAAAAAACAAACCTAAAGGCAAGTAAATGGTGAGTAATATTGTGTCAAAACAGGGGTGGTATTGGGGCTCAGACCTACAGGATAAAATAGAAGAAGTAGTCCTACTGAGTTATTCATAATGAACCTGTTGTTCGTGCTGCTGCAAAGCGCTTTAAAAGAAAATTTACTAGACTGTCTGAATCTTTGGCAGCCCTGTTCCAGTTCGTCTTCTTTAAGTTATGAGAAAAGAAAAATTCAATAACCTGCAAGACCATTTTTATTATAACTATTAATATCTTACAATGTCGCGACTTGTAATTAAGAGATTAAAACTTGAATAAATGCCCGACAGGTGTAGCATTTTTCCTAAATATCTTTGGACAGGCATGATGTGTTGACATGACCTACACTCTTTAACAAACTACGACTTAAATATACTCATGGCCTTGGGGTCTATTCAGTATCCCAACCATCTATACGTGTTCATTAGGGGTTAAAATAGAAGAGGGCCTGAATTCCCATTGGGCTATCTGCTATGGTATCACAATCTTATGTTTTGGCTTTCTTGACAGAGTAAACTTGGTGTTTCTTTAGGGAAAAGAAATATAACTTTAATTTCTAATGTAACTGCAACAGGATCAAATATCTGTTTTCTGAGCATTTACTGACAATGCTTAAAATTTTCTGCCTCTTAACTTATATTTCACCAATGCATAATTATGTGAGTTGTCATATTCAATTATATCATATTTTTTGCCAAAATATCAATAATGATTAAAATTTGCTTTAGACTTTTGGTTTGGTGCAGAGCAGTGGATTAATGGATGTTGGATGAATGGATGGATGGACCAGTGGATGTTTAATCCACTGCTCTGGTTTGGTGGTTTGAAAATGGTGCCCCAATGCGTCCTGAAATAAATCCCTGTTTCTGACCGAATTTTATTTGATAAAATCTTAAGATAATCCAACAACTGTAATAAATATGAAAATGTGTGGGTTTATCAGCCAAACAGACTTTAATGGACACCACATTGACGGTTTGTTAGTTTCGTAATTTTTCGTTCTGTTACGGACGCATTTCTCTTCAGGCAGTCCTCCAGCCTCCTCACACACAGCCTGGGTCCTTTCGTAACAACATCATGGCGACCCTCTGTAGAGTGCGACACCGGTGGAAGAGGATAAAATGTGCACACGTTTTGACGAGGAGCTTGACAGGTGACATTTTAATGTTTTTATAGTGTATTTAAATGTGAAGAACAGGACTGGGTTAGTTATTTAGAGAGAAATGTTTCTGTTAGGTCTCAAATAGCTTAAAACCAGCTGCTCTGACTGTGATGCTGTCACTTCATCCTCTTAATCACTGAAATAAACATTAACATAAGGTCCCAGATAAACGGATTATGTCAGGAGACAACATTTAAAAACAATATTTACTCTGCATAGTATTTCCTCTGTAAAATTACAATTAGAGCCACAGATACGCTAAATTTACCCATATCAGTGTCCTGGGGTGACCTCTGACATAATTACATTTAAGTTTACATCACTTTTTGAATTAGGGGAGGGTGGGGTAAGATGAGCCATTTTTCATATTTCAGATCACTACATCAAGGCAATCATCGTTTTGTCTCTAACTAGTGTATCTGCATATATGTCAAGATGTTGTTCATCCCTCCAACCCAACAGAATTAGTGTAAACAAAACTGTCTTGATAATATAGCATGCCAAAAAAAGTGGTCTCCTATGGTCAACTTACCCCCGTGTATGGGGTAAGTTGACCATAGGAGCGGGGTACTCTCCACCCCAGCCCTCCCCCACCTTCTCTCTCCCTAAATAACAGTCACCTCTTCACATTTATGTTTATTTTTATTTATTATACGCTATTGAGCTGGTACAATAATTATTTTTTTTATATAACTGCTAAAAAGCTGTTTTGTAAAAATCCATTTTAACATGAGAATGTCTTTCAGTGATTCAGAACATTCACAGCTGTATTTGGTGGACTTTTATGTTAGGTTTTTGACTTCATGTTGTAGCTCATAGATACCACAATTGATGTGAAACAAATTTAAAATGATCTTTTTTTTTGGTTTGAAAACAATTCTAATAAAACTTATAACAGACTAAATTCACTTTCAAGAGTGAAAAATGTTTTGTTGTTTTTTTTGTAAATGAATGTCTAACCCCTTCACCCATGTGCTTCTAACCTTCACAGACTCCATGAATCGATGCTCATCTCCTAAATATTTGGTCACATGATCAATTTTCTTTTACCATTTCGAAGCAACAGGGGGTGGCTCAACTTACCCTTTGGCTCAACTTACCCCACTCTCCCCTATATGTTATGTTATTCAACCGTGACACCACAGATGTCAGATGTCAGCACACTGCACAAAAATCATCTGTGTGAAGTCCTCTGTGTGAAAAACTGTGTGCTATTCTTTAACAGGGAAGTTTGATTATGACCTGGTGGTGATTGGCGGTGGGTCAGGAGGCCTTGCTTGCTCTAAAGAAGGTGAGATCTTTGGACTTTCAATCCCCTAATCCTTAAAACTTGCACTCTAATTTCCACATCTCTAACCCACTTTATGTTTTACCCACCTTTGCAGCGGCACAGTTTGGACAGAGAGTCGCTGTTTTAGATTATGTGGAGCCATCTGCAAAAGGTAACATACACTCTGTAAGCCTGTTGTGCCATTTGATTAAAAAAGATGATACTGTGAATCAATAGATTATGACTGAGGTCAATTCAGTCTCTCTTAAAATGCTTTCCCCAGGTACCAAGTGGGGCCTGGGAGGCACATGTGTGAATGTTGGCTGTATCCCTAAGAAGCTGATGCACCAGGCTGCTCTGCTCGGCACAGCTGTGAAGGATGCCAAGAAATACGGCTGGCAGATCTCAGGGCCAGTCTGCCATGATTGGTAGATCTTTTAAAACCTTTTCCTGTAAATTCTTCTAAATCAGCTTAAGTGAAAAATACTCTTTAATCAATACAAACCTGGCCTTACTTCACCGAGAAGCTAAACAGCTCCACCTAGTGGAGAAATGACAGAGTGGCAACAAGTCGATTCAAATACATATTAAAGTTACTATAAAAGGTTAAAAAATGAGCTTGAATGTAATTTCAGGCATGTGGTTAGAAGCTTTGGGATTTTTGTGAATGATATAAAAATATTTCAATGTAGCAGGACACTAACAGTAACTTTCAACAATCAGATGTGTTTATAAAACAACTTCTGCTGTGTTTTCCAGGGCCACCATGGCAGAGGCTGTCCAAAACCACGTCAGGTCTCTGAACTGGGGTCACAGAGTTCAGCTCCAGGACAAGTGAGTGGCACCAGCTTTAATGATATTTCATTAAATGACAACTAAATAGGCCAAATTGCTCCTATATGAGGCATAGCTTTGCTGGTTTTTAAGACCTAGGGTGGATATTTTTCATGTCCAGTTGTACTGTAAACGTTAAAATTCTGTCTTTAATAAATAAACTGCACTTCATTTTTACCAAACCCAGCATCTTTTGGGATGATGTATTATCCCAGCGTTCTGTATCACGCCCTTATTTAGGTATATTTTTGCTTGTTCGAGGATATTAAATATTGCTTTAAGCTGTTTATTTCTGTTGTTGCACAGCTGAAGGGTGATGAATGAGCCAACCATGTTTAATAAGCAGCTGCTGGAGGGCAAACAGGTGCCAACCTGTACGTGAATGTGCATAAGCTCCACTTGAAGTGTTTTTAGTCCAATGACACCATTTGCCCAAATGTTAGCACTTTAATAATATGATTTAATTTCAATTAGCAGACCGGCTGAGAGAAACTGGTAACCTCTATGCAAAGCAGCCACTTTAATCACTAATCTAATTTTTCAGGAGCAGCGTGGATGTTGAATGAACGCCCCATATTTAATCAGTCATAATTAAGATCAGTTTTCAAAAAGCAATTAAGTGGTGTTTAAAAGTTTGCATGTTAAAATTTAATGACGCTGTTGTTCGAGAAGAGATTAGTGCAATCGAGAGTGCGAGACCTAGTTAATAAGAAATAACAATTATTCATGCCTTTAATTAATATGGATGCAATTAGGTTTAAATTGAGCTTCCAGCAATCAATTTCAATTAAGTCTTTTCAAAATAAAAGGACCACATGGCAAAAGCATTGTTAGCCTTATGGGTGATTATTCAATTATACAACAATGTCGGGTTTGATATATTATAGGAAAGTGATAAATATGTACAGTTGTCTTCTACTGTAGACCAGAAACCGCATTTCCTGTATGTTTTTATCACAGAGAAAAGTACTCAACAGTTTTTATGATTATTTTTGGACTTTTTTTTTATGCTCTCCACCCCAAAAGCTCAAACCAAAATTGGTTAAAGGGCTTTCAGGTTTTCTGCACCCTGAACCTCGATATTTAACAGTTATTTACCTCTGCTGTTTAAAATTTATTTACCTCTGCTGCAACAAAAAAACATCCAGCTGTTTGTTCTTGGTTTTGCAGGAAGGTGAAGTATCTGAATATGAAAGGCAGCCTGGTGGATGAACACACTGTCAAAGGACTCACCAAAGCAGGGAAAGAGGTGCGCTGCAGATCCACATTAACCTCTGTTTAGTGGTGCTGCACTGTTTAAAAGTTTAGAAGGCTTTATAATACATGTTTTGTACCCATCTGTTAATATAATGTAATTCCACATTGTCCACCCTTCTTGTCTTTACTGTATTAACACTGCTTTAATTCTACATTCACATTGTTCAGCATTTCCTCCATGAGTAACCTAGAATTAAGTTTATTTTCAAGCTTTTTATTAAAAATATGTTTTCAAATTTTCAATTTGTTCAACTTTGCAATCAAGTACAGCTCTAATTTTGAAGTTAAGGAAAGTATTTCCATTGTCACTTTAATGCCGTTTACTGTAAAGACCACTTACCATCATTTGACGTTTCCTTGTTTTTCGAAGGATGTGAGCAAACGTCTCATTTCCCCCTTATCTCATACAGACCATCCTGACCGCCAAGAATATTGTGATCGCCACAGGTGGACGGCCCAAATATCCCACAAATGTGAGTAAAAATGCTGTCATCAATTCTCCTTCCTACATTTATAGGAGGTTGTACAGAAAGAATAAATATATACAAGAAAAGCAGTACAGTATATACACAGTGGGGAAAAAAGTGTTGCATTAAAACATAGAGTGCAGGCAGGGATGAATAAATACATAAACGAGTAGAGCAGCTAGAGGAAAGTGCACAGTGTGTTCCTGTTTATCTGCAGTAGTCTTGATGTTTCTGCTCTCCATGCCCCTGTCCTCCCCTCCTGACCCCTGCTGCAAACAAGCAGTACTGGAGCTCTGCTGAGTACAAACTGAAAAAAAGCATGGTTGAGGACTTTTTTGCTGCAGACTTTTACATTACAGACAGATAAGTGGATTGTTGAATGAGAAGAAATACTTCTGTTGACAGCTTTTCTTCTTTTTACAGATTCCTGGAGCCATCGAGTACGGTCTCACCAGTGATGACATCTTCTGGCTGAAAAAGTCACCTGGGAAAACGTAAGTTCCCCCCCACAACATGTACCCACATTATGTTAGAATGCATCAGTCCTTCTTTCTTTCTTTCTTTCTTTCTGAGTAAAATCAAAGATGAAGCGCTTTAATTACACATCAGTACAGATTATACCATGATCTACAGGTAGTTTTTGTATCAGTATGAATGCCTCGCTCTAGCTCACGGTGTAACCTTGCTCGCTGACACGACACGGCCCGCCGTCACGCACTGTAATCATTCATCGGTGACATGCAGTTTGTTTTTCTCCCTTCCTGTCAGCCTGTCTTCGCCTCATGATTCAGATTAGCGGCGTGCATCCTGACCTTTACAGAACAAGCCCTTTAATCCAGCCATTTAGCCGCTGTCATCACCTGGTTAATTGGTCCTTCCCTGATGTTTCCTCTTGGCACAGTGTGCAGACGGTGACTCCTGAGTGTGGTATACGTAGGCACTGGTTGTTGTTGGCTTCTCGGTGAAAGATAAGCGGAAATGATTACTCTGATTTTTTGGCTTTATATGTATCCGAGGTGTCTGCACCTGGGATTTGGAATCTGGGATTGTTAAGTACCTTTTCCCTTTTTTAGATGACAGATGGTAGTTTTTGTTTTTTATCAATATGCAGCCTTTATTTTTCCTCTTTTCCTTTTGTATTTGGAGCCAGTAGCTCCTCCATCATCAAATTCTACATTGTGTTGTATTTCAGTATAGTACACACAGTTATAGGTGTGCTATTCGGGTGTTTGACCACTTGGTGGCAGTACAAAATCAGTTATAGTCAACGAATCAACATGAGTGCATCCATCCATGAACAATTACCCCTGTAGAAATCACCCTTTCAACAAAACATCTTTGTATATGAAGCAGAATCACCCTTAAGAGACACCACTTGAGCTCAGGAAGCCCTTTGATGTAAGAGGATGACAGTAAGTGGGCTCCTCTTCCTCCCCGCAGGCTGTTAGGAGCTAGCATTAGCTTTAGCTTCCTCTATGGGGGTCCAGAAAAAAACACACATGACAGCCTGAGCTGGACATGTTGTTGTGTCACAGAGCCATCAGCTGTGCAGGTGAGGCTCAAGCGGCCAGTGTGTGTGTGTTTGTGCATGTGTTTGGAGAGGGTCCAGGCGAGTGACGGGCGTCTAATGGGTAGTAAGACACACGCACACCCAGGTGACAGATGCGGCCTCAGGGCTGAAGCCCAGAACTGACTACCATCATCATACTATCAGGAGAAAGCAGTGAGCGCGTGCCAGCAGGACTGAGATACCGGTCCAGGGATAGGCCAGTACTTGAATGAGTGTGAGCGCTTTGTGTGTCTGACCTTGTGTTGTGTAACTTTCTGGGCTGATCTTTCAGCAGCTTGTTGCGAAGCTGCACAGATGGCTTCAGCATAACTTCCCCAAATTTACAAAGAATCACAGAATCTCTTTTGTACACATGAACTCTGCGAATACCAAACACAGTGTAACAAAACATCCCACAGTGAACTACACAACCCCAGCAGACTACACAGCAGAAGAAAATAGTAAAAGTACAATGTCGTGTCTTACATTGAAACAGAAAACAGAAGGTTGTTCTCCACGATACCTGTGAACTAGTCCAAGTCGAGCCCTCTTTGTAGTAATCAAAAGGGTGTCTCTTGTACTCCAAACTATTGACCTGTATCAACCTGGACTGGCTGTGCTGGACCCTTTGGATGTGTACACTTCTATTTTGTCAACATTAGAATAGAGTCTCTCTTTTTATAACTGTATCTTGCAAGCTTTAGATCCCACTTTCAAATCTGATTGGAGAATTTCTCTCGAGTTTCTCTTCCAAAGGTTTGAATTTAAATCCGTCAGTGTTCGTGTTGGCTTTGACCTTCAGGAGCTTAAGCAGCATTTCTGAGGAATATTGAAGTTGGTACAAAACCACAGCAGCTACAAAGTGATATTCAAATCTGGTGTTTGCTGTTGTAGTTATTTTTGAAGGGCGGCTCAAGGTCAATAATATGACACAATGTCGATGAGAAAACCTCCCTCCTCAGGAGCTCCTAAACACTTTTTATCTAAAAAATTTTTTTAAGTTTCCATGCTGCTGAAAACAAGAGTCCAGAGTTCAATCAGGCAGTCATGACATTATGGACGAACATCCTCTGTGATATTTTTCTTATAATCTTACATGAAGGTTTGTCCAAAAATATGGATGTAAATCAAAGCAGGGACAGGAGTACAATAGATAAAAGTTTTTTAGAGTGAAAATCTGACACTTTAAAAACTCCCTGTCAGGGATTATATGCCACTATAAAGACAGATGCTTTTATACTGTATAGATTCATCAGTGTTAGATGATATGTGTAGGTAAAGTACATACCCTGATTTTCTTGTTGTTGTTGTTGTTGTTGTTGAGTGGTGCACTGTTCATATTCTGTAATGTTAATCTGCTTCAACAGATGAAACTTCCCAGTGGAAATAATTCAGTCGCTAAAATTGTTATCTTCTCAGTGTTTGGACGGTACTTCTTTTAATATTGACCCAAACAACAGACAGGCATTTTTTAATCGTACAATCTGCTCAGTTTCTGACAGAAATTCTCCTTTTCATCTGTTTTATTCAGATGAGGGGTTTTTATTTGAGCCCTCTTGGGTTTCAAACCCCATCCTGCACATATCTGAAAGTTCATGTTGTTAATGTCTAAATATAATATGTGCGCAGAAGATTTACAGTAAAAATGTAGAAAAAGAAATTAAGATTTTTAGAGAAACAATAGTACAAAAGAGGGACGGAGCGGACTGTAAAATCCAAACGAACATCTTTTAGACGAGCGTACACTGGAAAGAAGGAGGAGTAGGGGGAAAGTAGACGGTGTCTCAGTGATGGAAGTGCAGAATCAAGCTGAAGCTCGCTGAGTAATCTTCTTTAAGCCACTTCACAATGCGCGCTAAGAGCACCCCTTCATTACACAGACAGACAGAAAATGGGCATCGGGGCTTTTAGTGGTTACTATGAGCAGGGACCGGGGCCGGATACGCCGCAGGCTGCCAGAACTGTCAGGTGGAGCAGACGTGAAGGATGGAGGTCTGGGTTTGAACAGGGAGGTAAAAGCAGGCTGAGGAAGGGCCTCATGTATGCGGGTGACGGGCATCACTCAGCTGACTGATGTGTGGATTTGAGCCCTGAACATGGCACACCCAATCTGCAGGGATTAGACTAAACTCCGGCAATTAGCTCTCCTCAGCGGTGCACATCTCAGGGCTGGAGTGTGATCCACCTGGACCACACACACACACACACACACACACACACACACACACACACACACACACACACACACACACACACTCTCTCACAGCTTTCAGTGTCCCCATTTTCTACTTTTTCTTCACACATCTTCACCTCCATATGAAATGGTGAGGTTTTATAATTCATCACCTCTCCAATTCTTGGATTTAAAGTAAACAGTTTGAGCTGGCTTTATTTTGTTTGGCCGCAGAGTGCTTCACAAATGAGGAAATGTATTTTTGCTGTATTATTACTCAGGCTTAGGGCTTTTCTCTGTTTGTATTTTGCAGACTCGTCGTCGGAGCCAGTTGTATCCTTTGTCTGCCAATGAGCTTGTAATAGGAGCCGCTGTGTAAAGTCTAATGGTAATTAGTAGAACGTTATTAACTTCATGAGAGAGGTGATTCCATTTTTCCAAATCCAGTATAATAGTTTCCTTGTTTCTAAGCTGCTGTGTCTCCTTTTTGAGCTCTCTCATTTTTGGGGGTCTTAGTTTTTATTTCTTTTGGCCATGCTGTAAATGTTACTGCTCTGTGTTGTAATCCTGAACCTGGCATTGCTCAGATGTGGCTCTGGAGTGTGCAGGCTTCCTCACAGGCATCGGCTTGGATACCACAGTGATGATCCGCAGCATCGCCCTCCGTGGGTTTGACCAGGTACTACTCCTGAACTACTGTCTGCATATTTTGGTCGTGATTATGAGGTTTTTTTAAAAGTGAATATTCTCTGTTTTTATCCAGCAAATGGCAGGCCTGGTGACGGACTACATGGAGGCTTACGGGACCAAGTTTGTGAGGAAGTGTGTCCCAAAGAGAGTGGAGAAGCTGTCCTCAGGAGCTCTGCAGGTGACATGGAGCGACATCAACACAGGCAGCGAACACAAGGACACCTTTGACTCCGTGTTATGGGCAGTTGGTAAGTGTGTGTATCTGCTTGAGTCCATTCATATCGCTTGGTCTCTCTTTATCAGGTTATGAGACCACATCTGCCAGTGCAAAACCGCGTTCCCCTCCCCTCCTTTGAGTGGAGGACGCAGCATCCATGACTCTCAGACAACACTGTGGTTTGTTTGACTCAGTCTCTCTTACATGGACTCAGAGGACTCACTGGCATCCAGGATCATGTTTATTTATGGATTCCGCTCTGCATTTGTGGATGCCATGACAAACCAGGTTCACAGACATTGGCGTTTAGATGTGATTTTGAGCATGCAGTGATTTCCACTACAGAGTCATGTCTGTTTTTGTTACAGTGCTGCCTGAGGCCCTGAAGGTTATTGCCATGCATCTTTTAATGATAATATGTGCTGTAGGTGATGAACACTCCAAAGTCTTCCTCACTAAGTGTTACAAATTAACCTCAGTAGATGAGAGATGTTTTATATGAGCTTCACAAAACTTTTTTACTTTTTTCTTATCCCTGCCTTAACTTTTCTAAACATGTTACTGGTTTAAAAGTTAAAAAGAGTGTAAACTTTTCAAAAAAATAACATTTTTCAGTTTCAACATTTGATTTGTCGTCTTTAATTTGAATTCCTAAATTCTCTTACCGAGAACATCTCAGACGGCATCTCAGCTCTGATGGACTTGAGTTGAAATTATGAACCATCATTATGACTGCAGGTCTTTGTGAACCCACTTTACTTACTATAAGTAAAACTAATTTGTTAAATTGATCAGGAACAGTCAACAGAACTGAACTCCTTTACTCTTCAAACCTCTCTCACAGTTACATGTCCAGCACCTCCCCTTGGTTTTCCACAGAGAGTATAGTCCTAAAATAAAACCCCACGATTTCTGTTTTTCCCTGCCGCCACTTATTTCATTGTCATGCTGGATAGAGTGCAGTGTCAGCAGATCACAGAGGAATCAAGGCTGAAAACAAAGTAATAAAGTCTGAGTGATGGGAACCACGGGGGGAAGTGTTAATCACCCACTGCTGGCTCTCTGGCTCTCTGGCTGCAGAGGGGCAGGATGGGGCAGGATGCACCCAGATACAGGGTCACCCCGTTCCCCTCTTTGTTCTCCCTCTCCGGGTCTTCCTGCTCATGCCAGCTCTGCGGAAACCAACCCTGCATCTGTCACTGCCATCCCTGCCCGTGGCCCTTTGCGTGCCATTACCAGTAGCCCTCCTCATCCTCTTTCTCATCTATTTATCCTCTCTAATCTTTTCTATGAGTAATGATGGAGGGAAAATCCTGTCAGGGTGGCTGCCTTTAGCTTATGTGGGTTTCAAAGACAGCTCCTGAAAACATGACCACAAAGCTTTTCCATTATGAGCCGCACAGGACTGTCAGCTGATGTTTGAGGGAGGCAGATGAGTGCGTCCTCTCCTGCTCTATGCGTGTGACAGCAGCGAGGATGTGCGTGACCCTGCAGCTGAGATGACGTTCGCGTTCCCCTCCTGTGGCTCAATTCCCACATCATCTGACCGTGGGACTGAGGGTGGCAATATGAGCACTGAGCGCATAGTTTAGTAGGTGTTCAGACGTAACTGAAATGCTGGGGTCCTTGGGTTTCCTCAGTTCTTCGAAGATTCTCCTTTTGCTTGGTTTCAGTAACATATAATTCTTTGCTAACTTTACACTGTTGTTGCTTAATCATAGATATTTTCAGGTTAATAAATTATGGCCTGGATGGGATTATTTGGAAGCAAACAAATTTCCTAGTGTTGCCTAAACAGATGTTAAAATTCCACTTACCAACTGGTATAAGGAGGAGAAAACAGTTAATCTGACACGGATAGGATTATTTGGAGGCAACTAATTTCCTTGTTTAGTGGTACTGAAGTGAGCAGAACTAGCACCACCTTCTTGCAGGTTAATGTTCATATAACATACATTAGATCTAAAGTGGAGCTGAGAATACTGAATGGCAAAAAAGTCTGTCTATTTATTTGAGTTTAGAATAAAATTTGCAGTATGACTTAATCAAGGATATTCATCAGTCTGAGGTCTTTTCCTGGAATAAGGCCTGTTTGAAATATACAGGCTAAATAATCAATCAGAAATCCAATTAAAGTGAATAGTCTCTCTCTTACATGCTGCAGCTCTGTGAACTTAAGGACAAGCTGAACAGAAGTGAAAGAAAATGACTTTTTTACTTTTTAATGTAAGGATGTGAAGTCCTAATCAACTGGTCGACTAATTGGTCGATACGTGCTGAGTCGACCAAAATCCTGATCGGTCGAATCAATTTTTTTCAGCATCAATTTACAGTCTATGGTTATGGAACGTACCAAGTGCTAATGGGGGTGTTTTCAGAGCACCCCCACAGGTAACCTCAGAACACCCCCTTGTTTTAACCATTTTGGATTCGCCCAACCCACTTAATCAGCAATGTTCTTAGATTTGCTGAATATTTATTTTTAGTTTGAGCGCTTCAACTTCCATCTTGTTAGATTGCCATCTTGTTTCAACTTGTCTTTTGTGTTTAATTGGCTTCTTGTGCTGATATCAGTATATTTTCACCCCGCTGAGCTGCGCCGTCCCCTGCCGCAAAAGGGTTTGCCATCAGAGTCGGACACCCCCACCCCCACCCCCACCCCGATTAGTTGATTTTTGGTCGGAATTTTCAGGGTTTTAGTCGACCAGGAATTACAGCCCTAATTTAATGTATGAGGTGCATGGAAGTTAATATACTTTTGGATTTGGCCAATGACTGGCTTGCTGATGCAGCATATTAGGCAGTTTGCTGTATCAATATTTGAACGATTCTGGTTCTGGTAAGTCCATTTTCTTGAATATTACACTCTAAGAAGCGCTTCCTGTAGTTGCTGTAAGACGTAACACAGTAAGGATGCTTTGTTAGCGTCACTCACGGTATCCATGACAGGTTTTGTTCCCATTCTGTTCAGTGAGAACCAGCAAGAGCGTGGCCTCTGCTCTTTGATGTATACAAGCAGCAGTTATGAGTACAAGGCCACTTCCCTTTACTGTGACCTTACACTGGGGGCCAGGCGGTGTCCCAGGCCTCTGCGGAGTTATTAAAGGCCAGAGGGGACCGGGGGAACAGTATCACCACCGTCTGTCACATCCTCCTCCACGGCCCTGTCTGCCTCCACCTTTCCCCTGCTCCTTCCTGGCCTCATGGCCGCTCCCCTGTCCAGGTGTGCCCGCAGAAACACACCAGGAAACAGCGGGTTTTTTTATACAGTTCCTGTCTGTATGTGGACAGTGGGAACATTAGTCTTCCTCTTTGTTGCGCTCCTCTTTCCTCTAGGATGTCATTTTAAAGATTCTTCTCTTTTTTATGGCATCTGGCTGTCTCACTTCCTGAAGGCATCCCTGATTGTTGATTTTCCATCTCAATTACTCCGATGGTTTTAATCATGAAGATAACAGCGCAGTCAAAAATGTTGTTATGGAGATGATTTTCACTTCTAATGCATTGTGGGTACATATTAAGCCTATACACTGAAATCGCTTTATAATCTCCTATTGTCTTAGCTTGTTTTACTCTTCAAACACACCACAGATTGTTTCGACATCACTCAAGCGCTCCGTTTTTTAATCATTAGGTCCGTTTTTGGCCAGAAATAGAACACGTAATCATTTTGGAGGTCCAGTATGATCATTTTCCCAAAGAATAACACTCCCCCACACGCATTTCTCCCCCTTTTGTCTTTGTTCATTTGATTGATCAGATAAGTATTCAACCCTCACTCCGTCTGCTGGAGAGTTGTTGTGGCTAATTAACCCTAGCAGCTTCCTCTTAATGTCACAACAGGCTTTGTTCAGATTGGCTTGAATGTTGAACCGCAGTGTGTGTGTGTGTGTGTGTGTGTGTGTATGCTCCAGCTTCAACCAAATCTCTTATCAGTCCCCGCTGTTGTTGTGTCCTGGTCGTACAATAGAGCCGCGCTCACTGCTGTGGTAGAGCAGTGACTCAGGCTGCAGACAGGAAGGCCACATATGTGAAGGAAAATTCTTTTCTTTCCAGTCAGATTCTGCAGATACGGCGTATGTCGGCCAATACTCCTGTTTTTGTTGTAACTGACGCTGAAATTGAATACTGTTGAAGCGGAAAACATGAAACACATAATGGGTTTAGCTGCAGAAATGTATTCCAGTGGAAGTCGAGTCTCGGATGGATAAAGATCAGTATTATACACCATGTTAGAACAGTTTATAAAGTTTGTAGGAATATTCTGGATGGCTTGAAGAAGTGGCCCAGGGTTCTACCTCCACCCTCGACCATGTGCTGCACATCATCCTCTACTCCTCGCTCCCATTTCTGACTCAATCTAGCATCCTTTACTTTCACTGAAGACCTAATGATATTGTATGAATTTGTTAAAATAACAACGTTTGCGTATTTATTCTAACTTACCTTGTTTCTTGGGCTGTAATCAACCATCGAAATTCTTGGTCGACTAAAACCCTGATCATTTCTTCATGGAAATGCAATCCAACCGAGACGCTAATGCAGAAGAACTACTGCATCTGCAGTGCAAAATGATTAATATGGTGATTATTACTTCAAGGAAATTATAAAGAAATAATCATAAATGTTCTTCCTTGAGCTGCGTCACCCCGCTGTAGTCCGTAATAGACTGTCCCGAGGAGTGAGTTGTGTTTAGTCTCTTTGCTAAAGAAATCAGGCAAAGTTAAAAAGGTGTTTGGTGGCTAGTACTATGGCTGGGACCCTATATGTCCTGTTGATGAAGTTAGGTGCTGTTCTGAGTATTATTTGTGGCTTTAGAGTGGCGTTTTGGTTGAGGTTTGTTTATGGCTCCTCAGACCGCTGTGTATTGCTATCGCGCAATCGTTTCTAAAGTTGGTATAACTAGAGAAGCAAGCGGTCGGCAACATTCATCTCTCAAGGGGGTGTCTAACTCGGTGTTACGGTGTGTTTGGCCCTAAATTAATTTTACACCTGAATATCCCTTTAATACCAGTTTTGATTCTGTATATATTGACTAACTTTACAATTTTTGCTAGCTTTCTTTACACTTCTGAGAGACACAGCTGTTCTGTAAGACCCTTTTTTATGTTACTAACATGTGTTTAAAAACCCTCATTAGTCAGGAGGTGTTTGTCCTCGAGCATTAGACAGTTATTTCAGTATTTTGTTGTCTCTATCCAAAAAGGTAAGGACATAGAAACACTCCAATAGTTAAGTTCTGCATGGTGCAAATGTATGTATCGCTTAAATCCACAAAAAAATGGAAATCAGGCACATTAGCAAGTGACAGGTATGTGCAGGCTGTGTGAGAGTTGTGTACGTATAGGACATGAAAATATTTGCGGTTGAACTTTTGGGAATATGTGACTGCTGAGTTTCACCATCGTCTTCTTCAGCCACCCATGCTGTGAGCGCTAAACACATCCCTGCAGCCCCCCTTGGTCTGAAGAAGGAGGGGGGGACGTTGTTCTTCGGCTCCAGCCAGGAAAAAGGGTCTCAGGGGTTTGTTATTTTTGCTGTCCGATAGCATCTACATGGGTAGCTCAGGGCTCTGTGTTTATTATGCTACCCAGGCAGGTTGTGAGGAGCTGCAGAGAGGAGGGGTTGGCAGTGAGTGGTCCATGTCCCATCGCCATAGAGACTCGGCGTCGACAGCATCAGTCAGCCATCCCCAAGGAAGTGTCAGGAATCACACCTTTTTGGTGTCCGGGGGGTTGATGGGAAACTGATTCCCAGATGCTCATCAGTGTCTAACCTCTGTCTCAGCTGTCCAGATGTTGCTAATCAGTGTGTTAATTGTGTTAAGAACCAGCACATTAGCACTGTCACCATGGTCATGCTCTCAAAAATACATCACCTTTATCTCTATGCACCTACATATGTCCTTAAATAGAGCATCAAGGAGCTGCTGGCATGTCTGCAGCTTCCTGGATCTGCTACTTTGAGACTGAAAATAACCAGGATGGATGACAGGAACACTGCACAGACATCCGTCACCTTTGCTTGTGCCCATAAATGTAGCACATGTCTCACAGCGTCAGCGGAGTATGTTATGCAGACTGTACAGTGAGCCTCTCTCTTCTCCTCTCCTCTCCTCTCCTGAGGTGTAATGTAATATTCTCCTTGTGTTGTTTCCTCTTATTCACTTCAGGCAGAGCCCCTGAAACCAAAGCTCTGGGCCTGGACAAGCTTGGCGTGAAACTCAACAAGGAGACGGGGAAAATAGTTTTGGGTGCAGACGAATCCACCTCAGTGCCGAATATTTTCGCTTTTGGTGACATTGGAGAGGTAGGCACCAACTCACACAGATGACACAGATAGCGGACGATAAGGTATTACAAAAGTGTACCAAGTTTCAATATTACGGTTTCGTTTGAAGACACTTTTGTCTGAACCAGACTGCTGCTGCAGACTCTATTTTACCTTTGCAACATACTGAACTCTAGCACATTTCACATGGGTTGCAAAATATGCAGAAGAACACATTTATAGCAGCACATAATAATCATTTTAATGGTAGGATATTTGTTTGTGTGCATGTGAAGGATATACGTTTGGTATTATGAGTTCTGCAAAAGAATTAGATGAAGTATTTGAATCCCTCTGTCATATAACCATCTGCTCTCTGACTGTGTGTGTTCTAGTCTGCAGCAGTCGTGTTATTACTAGTTATACCTGCAGCATGTAATGTCAGCGTTGTTTTTCCAACATGACCAGCTGTGTGCTTCCTTCCTGCCTCTCAGGCCTTTTGACACACACACACAGACACACACACTCTCTCTCTCTCTTTCTCTCTCTCTCTCCCTCTCTCTCTGATTGACAGTTCACTTTGATGAGTCATACTCCTCCTCAATCTATCTGTCAGCTTTTCACAGCAGCAGGGAAACTTTTTCATATATTATTTTTCTAAGGCAGACAGGTTCCTATCACAAATCGTCTAGTGCTTTGTCGGTTTTCATCCTGGAGAAGTTTGCCAGACATTACATTATGCATATATGACGAAAGACTTATAGGAACAGCAGAGCGCACACCCTACTTCATGCAGCGGCATCTCAGGAGATGTTTTGGACAACAGGATGTTCGGTGGCAATTGAACAGGTTTTAAGTCATGGCTTTAGAATTGCCCTGCAGCCCTACTGTTTCCTGCACCATCACACTCTATGTGTGTGTGCACGTGTGTGTGTACCTGTGCCTCAATGTGTGTGCGGCTCTCTGGCAGACATCCACAACAATAAAGACGAAAACACAGAAGCCAAGATCTAAACGTGCAAGACAGTTTAAATGTGAAGCAGTTGTGACATTTATGAAGTAAAACCTCATAAACTAATAGTTTAAAATTTACTTTCCTGTTAAGTTCTACATTTTTTAAAATGGGCTGCAGCTTTTAAAGAGCGTTTTTTGTAATTTTGTTTAATTGTAACATCTCCCAGGGTCGCCCTGAATTAACCCCGACAGCCATTAAAGCAGGAAAGCTTCTCGCACAGAGACTGGCTGGTCACAGCACCCAGCTCATGAACTACGACAATGTAAGAAACTCAAACACACACCACACACACGTACAGGCTGAAGATTTTATTTAATTTACCAACAATAAAATATAAAATATTCTGAAGTTTTATGGCTGGAAATTCGGATCAGTCTGCTCTGCCTGTCCTCAGGATGAGCTGTAGTTTGAGACATGTATAGTTTTTTTCCCCATGTGAATTTAATTGAACTACTGAGTGTTATCTCTAGCTGGCTTAAGTGCAACTGCATTGGACATAACACAATAGTATGAGATCATTTTATTTTATTGAAAATCACAGAAAGTAACTGAAACCCTGAAAATAAAACACAGAGATTTATCTGATCAGCAGGTCCTCCCTACACAGACTCAGCCTGATTGACCTCAGGTGCATGAAGTCAAAGAGAAAGCAGTACAAGTGTAAAATGAGCCTTTACGAATATATAGGACTGACACACTTACACAAGTAACTTTTCAAGCCTAGTTTTGTGGTGTGTAAGTTATCTGGATTTGTCTCAGGTTGCCACCACAGTGTTCACCCCCCTGGAGTACGGCTGTGTGGGTCTGTCTGAGGAGGAGGCCGAGAGGCGGCATGGAAAAGACGGCATAGAGGTGAGATAAATGTGGTTGAAGTTTCAGCTGCAGCTTCAAGTTAAATCATGAAAAAGGACAATTTGGTAGTTTTCTTTTTTGAATTTCAATTACCCTAGTTTTGTCTGATAGGGCCCATAATCATTTGGATGTGACTTGTTGTGTATTATAAGTCTTGTGTAAGTTTATGGAGTATTTCTCTTAAAAACTAGTTAGAATTAAATCATTTACAGGGAAATAAATCACATTTAACAAGCCTTCTTGATATGTAATTACCTTTGAATGAGTAATAATCATGTAAGAGTAATTTGTCACACTTCAATAGCCGAAGAGAAGCATCGCATTGTCTCAGATTTGTGTTTTAACTGTGTTAGAGTTTTGTTTCTTTACTTGTAAAATAACGGATAAATGCCACTCATGCACAAAGCTAGGCTCACTGGCAGTGTTCGACATCCAAGCATAATAAAAAATACACCGAACCACAACCCCTGAACAAACACTGACACACACACCGACAATCTAGCAGCACGCAGCTCTATATTTTACGTGCTTGCATAGAACAGCGGTGTGCCAGATGCTCGCCAACACCTGCACTCGGCTTGGATAAATGGTTTAGCGGCTGAGGTGGGGCTCCCGGCTGTGACTGACAGGCGAGCAGGAGGCCTGATTGAGGTGTGTATGGGGTGATGACAGGCACACTGAGATCTGAGGACGAGCCCGAGCACCGGCCTCCGACAGCTGCGCGGCCCTCACAACTTGTGTCGGCACGTCGGCCCGCTGAATAAAACACACGCTCTCGGTGAAGGGTTTGGAATCAGTCACCGCCGTGAACGTGAACATATGTCTTTTTACGCCTTTTTTTACTGCTTGTTGTTGCAGCGGCATTGTTCGGATAGAAAGTCATTAGAGTGTTCCTGTAATTTAACAAAATATAGTTAATGTAGCAAATTAGGGTCTTTAGGCTGATACTAAATTTAATGTATGTTTTACGTGGCATCATTGTAAACAGTGTGTGCATCCTTGGCACCAGTGATCTCTTAATTTGCTTGTAAACCTCATTCTTCATCATTTGCCACCCTGTATGGTGTCGCTGAACTGTCCATATGGTCCTCTGATTGTGACAGTAAAATGTCAGCTGTTTTGAATGCATCATAGTGTGCACAAGCGAAAACAAACACCAGAGCAGGGAGATCCCAGAGGAGAGTTTGTCTGTATATTAATAATCTCAAAGATTATTATAATAAAGTGTAGCTCGCCATGGGAAAAATATCAAATCAACAGTTCGGGCTTCGGGCCAAACTAATATATTTTTCAGCATCACTTGTTTACACGATCAGTCCTCTGTTTTGATGTCTAAACAGATCTACCACGCTTTCTACAAGCCTCTGGAATTCACTGTCCCCGAGCGTGATGCCAGCCAGTGTTACTTAAAGGTTTGTCTGAAGTTTCTTCAAAAATTAACTTCTTTTAGTAATATGTTGGTGTGGGATTGCAAAAAAAAAACTTGTAACCTGGTCTCTATTCACCGTTCAGTCTTCTCTCCTCCTCAGGTGGTGTGTGAGCGGGGTGGAGACCAGAAGATCCTCGGTCTACATTTCACCGGTCCGAATGCTGGAGAAGTCACACAGGGCTTTTCTCTGGGCTTCCAGTAAGTCAAAATAATCTAAAATGATGTTATTCAAGGTAAATTTGGTGGGTTTTGATGCATTTAATCAGCTTTTTTATGTGTAGATCTATTTTGTATGTAAAAAAGTTTGAGGATTATCCTGTGTGCTGTTTCAAAACTATCTCAGGATATTTCCTATAATTAACAAAGAAAACTGCTTTAAAATTTAGCTATTGGGCTTAATTCAGCATGTTCACATTCACACAAACTGCTGAAATGATGATTTCTGTGTATTTTTCTAATTGAACAAACTCAATTAAGAAGAAAATCACACTTAACTTATATGTAGAGTTGCAATGGTCAAAATTTAAACATTTCAAACGAAGTCAATAAAAAGTTAATCAGTCTGTGATCTAATACTCAATGATAACTTAGGATCCAGACTCATGTCAGGCCTACAGTCCCCCCCTTTTTTTTATATGTAGTCTGTTAATAAGATCTAATAAATTCTGCTTGACAAGATGTTATTTAAATGATGGATTGCCTTATTGAAATTCTCAAATATAAAACAGATACATTGCGTGACAAAAAAGAAAAAAAAATCAGCTTATGGAGGACAAGTGAGGAAACAAAAGAAGACTGAATCTAATCCCCATCATGTCAGTTTAACAGCCTGCATCTCTTTGTGTCTGTTTGTGTCTCAGGTGTGGAGCTACATATTCCCACTTGTTGCAGACGGTAGGAATCCACCCGACCTGCGCCGAGGAGCTGACCAAGGTCAACATCACAAAGCGCTCTGGCTTAGACGCCACGGTAACCGGCTGCTGAGGTTAAGCGCCTCGGTCTCTGAACATGTGTGAGCACACGGGGTCCCTCAGTGACAGTAGAGAGGTCAGTCTTGGTTGGTGGGTCCTGCTCTCTCTCTCTCTTTGCCCTCCTCCATCTATCCGGCCTTGAGATTTAGCTGCACCTTTTGTGTAACAGGGTGCCCGCTGTCATTTGATAACCTGGACTATGATTATAGCATATACAAGCCTGATGTGAGTGTTTGCCATGAGAGCGCAGGCTATAGATCAGGTCGGTGAGAGCTCTCACAGCAGAGCGAGCGTCTTTTAAATAAACAGGCTCATCAATCAGGATTAAGGTCTGTGCTCAGAGTTTTGTTGAAATCGAGGTCCGAGCCTGAATGTTTTTCTGAAAATATATTCTACAAATATTGTTGTTTCTCTGGCTGTACTTCCTGTCCATTAGTCTTGGAGGTGACACATACCATGCACTCCGCCCCCCCAGTGACACTGATGGATAGCCCCAGGGCCGTCGCCGCAGTGACACCGCCCTATTTCCCATGGACACACACAAACAGTCAGTGGGCTACCTGTCAGTCAGACAGCTAAGACCTGTCCTGGGAGGCCTGACTTGTCGAGGCAGCAGGCCCTGTCCTTCTTCTCTCATGACCTTCTTTATCCTAAAGCAAAAAGAGTACAGTGATACTATCATGATGTGCTTCATAACTGCACTACTCAGCCTCACCCAAAGGTGGCAGTATTGCCCTCCTGTTCTCTCCTCTCTCACCGAGCCAAGGATGGAAGATAGGATAAGGTAGTCAGTGGATAAAAACTTAAGCCTGAATACATTCAGGTTGCACATTTAATCCCTTTAATCCCTATAAAAGATATGTGCTTTTGGATAAAGTTTGCAAGCAGAGTGGCTTTAAAGGTGCCAAACTGATAAGGGTTATCTGTTGTGTATTTACATGGATGGCAGGTTTGGCCTAAAAGTCATCACCCTGGGAGATAAGGCAGGTTGTTTATATCAATAAAGCAGTAATAGACCCCCACTGTTTGCCAAAGTGCTCAACCTGCTGCCTGCACTGGACATCTTGGGTTTATTAAGCGGAGGAGGAGGAGGAGGACTGTTAATAAAGTGGGTTTGCAGCAGAAATCTGCAGAACCAAGAGGAGGCTGCTGGGCGTCGTTTATTTTTATTTGAAGTCTAATCTGCTCAGGCTGATTAATGATTTCGATGAGGGGAGTGACAGTGTGCCAGGAGATGGAGAGAGGAAAAAGAGAGAGAGAGGGGTACCAGGTTTATTTGGACCTAAGCCAGAGAAGAGCGAGAGACGGAGCTGAGTTTCAGGCCTGGTTAGGGAGGGAAGCGGGGGATTCCTGTGTGCTCTGTTCAGGGCCGAGGTGCTGACTGAAGGACCCTGACCTCCGCTCAGCAGGAACAGCTTGACTCTATCACTTGGAGCACGGAGGGCTCACATGCTGCGGCGCTGCACGGCAGGGGCCTGTGGGAGCTCAGAGCAGAGGGGTGGAGGGGAGGGAAGTAGGATGGCCAAGAGACGGACAGAGCCAACCAGCACAACACCGAGTGGTAGCGGTGTGTTTGCCCAGAGTAATTGAGTCTATGTTCCTGTGCTTAACGAGCCACTTCAGAGACCTCAGGGTGGGCCCAAGGCACCGAGAGGGAAGTTATTGAGGCCATCAGTGTAACTGTAATGTCTGTTTGCTTTTTACCCTCTACTTCCCTTCTCCGTTTTCTCCTCTGCTCTGTTTGTTCATCCCATTTTGGCTGCACACGCACAAAATCTTACAGTATTATTTTATGACCTGTAAGTCTAATGAGGAGTTTTGTTGATCAGCCTCGCCATGTTAGCCGCAGCTGTGCCCTGGGGGGTCAGGGTTCAACTTTCAGGTCGGCCAGCTAATGATGACCTGCACTAAAACCCAAACCTGGGGAGTGCAGGCCTGATGTCACCTGGCTACTAACTTTCGCACTTGTAAATAGAGACGTGTAATTTTCCATTTAAGCTTTGTGATACATAATTTATACGTGAAGTAATAACACACTGGAACGTACTGTGTCGCCATTAAAGTAATGATGCCCGCCTGTTGAGTGTCCTGTGATCTACTTTTATAATTGCATGGAAGCTTGCATCTGTCATGCAGAAAAGTAACACTGCAATACAGCCCCAATTAAAAATAATCAAAACAAAAAACAAATTTAAATCATTGACACTCCATATTTAATTCAAAATAGTGCAAAAACAACATACCGAATGTTGAAACTGAAAAATGTCTTTGCTCAAAGCAAATTAGAAGAATAACTGGGTATGAAAAGATTATTTCAGAGAGGCTGAGTCTCTAAGAGAGAGAAATGAGAAGAGCTTTGTGAGTAATATTCCTTTATAAAACAATAATTTGTGGGTTCAATCATCTGCAGTGTATAACACCATAAAAAAAAATCAGTGCACCTGGTGAAATCCCTTCACAAAAGTGACAAGGTCAAAACCCAATAATGGACGGCTGTGACCCTGCTTTTCAAACAGACATGACTCTACAGTGGAAATAACTGCAAAGAACCAGAATCCCTCTCAAATACCGTTGTCTCATCCACTAGTGCAGGTCAAAGCTGTTTTATGCAAAGAGCCAGCATCCCCTCACCCTCTTTCCAGAAGAAGAATTAATACTTTTCTGGATTTTGCACAACTCCGTAAAAGAAAAGAACAAAATTTAGTCAAAAATTTGAGTAAATATGAAAAATTTCAAGTGACTTTAAATGTAATTAAATGAATTAATCCAAGAAGGCTCATGTGAAAGTGGCTATTATCCCCTTTTCGAGGTCTGTGTAGGTTTATCTTACAACACGCTACACAGATTTGTCTCAATATTGAGCGGTGTCACAAGAGGTGGTCACACTTTGACCTGGACTCCTTTCTGCTGACAGGCACCTCTGCTATGCAGCCCTGTCACTCAACCCTCTGCACCAACAATGGCAGAAATTCCACTGTGTTTGTTTGGTTAAGGACAGAGCTCTCTGAAACCCCTGAACCTCCTCAGGATCCACAGCAGCCTCACTCACCCTGAGAATGAAGAGAGTGTCAGTCCTAACCCAGACAGAGGGAGTAAAGTTCATCCGCCTCCTCAAGAATACTCAGCCCCATTTAGCAATTGTGTCTCTTTCTGTCCCTCCACAATGGAGCAAACAAGCTAAATCCACCTTGAAATGCACTTAGTAGAACATGTCAACATGTCAGAGTGCGCTCGGTTCTTCACTCCGTCCTAATCCAGCCTATTGATCGCTGACAGTTGTCTGTGAGTCAGACATTCACTGGGCCTTTGTCATTTCAGGCCTTGAGTCCTTGCAGCCTTGCAGGAAGAGCAGAACCTTCAGACACACGTTCAAACACACATGCTGGGTATACAACCGCACGGCCGCAGCAAAAGCCTCAGGAGGAGGAGAAACCGATACATACCTTGTGTAAACATTCGTGAAGAAATAACGCTAAGAACAGAAAAGGCTCAAGCTAGGTGAGGATTATCCCTGAGAAATGAATAGGAGCCAATTATGACTGCTCTGTTGTACTGCCAGTATCTGGCTCAAGGGCTGTCAGCCTGAGATGCCTGCAGGCTTCAGATGAGGTGCGGTGGATGGGGAGGGGGCCGACAGACTAGTAAGCCAAGGTGAGTCTCTTAGCTGGATTTGGTGGTTTTCTACCTCAACTGGCCTCCCAAGTTCAAGACAATCAGCTCAAAGGAGTCACTGAAGTCATGTGCTAAAACTAATGGTAGGTTCACAAAAAACAGCCATGTGAGCGTGGGTGAAGGGATTAAGTCAGAAGCTTCTTCTGTCATTTTGTGCACAAATATGCACAGTTTACAGACAAATCTTTCTACACCAGACACTCGACAACCTTGTCACTCCCCATCAGGAATGCCAAGGTTGTCTCATTTGTTTCAAAGATTAAAAAACTACATATTTGAGTGTGCTACAACTTCACCATTAGAGAGACTCAACCTCAAACAATGAGGAAGCATCAGTGAGGTCACCTTTTGACAGAGTGGGGTCCTGTTGGTAGCCCACTAGAGGTGAGGGCCTGTGAAATGAGCTTATCTGACCCCTGATAAGAACAGGATACCCTCAGGAATGGTCTAAACTCAATACACATGGCTTCCACATTGCTCTTATCTGAGGAGATGTGGGTGTTGGAAAGGAGTTAGGAGCAGCACTGTGGTTAGTTTTGGTGTATCCTGACCAGTCGGGCCAACCACAGTCTGACGCAGAAAGCAGCAAGTATCTGTGGCAGATAATAAGATGTGCTACAATATAATAGTCTGTGATCCTGATCCTTTTATGCCATGAAGGGAGCTATTACGATCCGCAACCTCAGCTCTTAAATCATTTAGTCAGGTCTTTAGTCACTCAGGAAGCAGTCTTATTACCTCTGGAAGCTGCACTGAGATTTATTGAGCTGATACTCGAAGATGTCTGACAACAAACGGACCAATTTCGAGTGTGTATGTTTGCCAAAACATGCAGATCAGTGGAATTGTGCTTGGCTTGTGAAAGCATACAACTCCCTGTTTATATTAAAACAAGGCAACTTTGGCACTCTGCATTTTGACTTGTAGGTACGATTATATTGTTATTGCACTCGGAGAAACCTCTGATTCTTTGTCTGTTTGACAGGATCCACTTTTATTATCAAAACAGATGACATAAGGTTTAGTGCTCAATTAGTTGCAGTGTTGTTCAGAGCTGCATGGCTTTTCAGTTGTTTATGCTTCATGTGTGGCCTAAAGGAGACTAGCATACTGAATTTGAATGAAACTGGCTTTAAAGTTAACCTAAAACCAAGTTCAAGAACTAACCTTACATGCATAATGGAGAAAAAGGAAATAAACTGTTATTATATTTTATATCTTATATTTTAACTATGCTTGCAACTTTGCCACGCCTCTGTCTCTATCAGTGTCCCTAACTACGACTCCTTACTCCCCACCAAGGCCACTATAATGTTGAACAATTTTACTGTAAAGTGAAACTTAAACACTAAATAACAAATACGCACCAAGGTTAGAATGCTAAACCAAGAAGTATCAGCATCAGCAGGTTAACTTTCATATGAACGCAGAGCAAAGAACCCCTGTGTTGACAAGTGAGGCCGGTGGAGGTGCAAAAAACTGCAGTTTCTTTACTTTCCACTAGAGGCAGCGTAAAAAGCCGATGAATCCCCATGTTAAAAATGCACATTTACCAGCTAGATCAAACCTGTTTGCAGGCCGGTGCAACGAACATTTTTGGCTCATTTATTTGAACACCATGCAGGTGGCAAATTTCTTAAAAACACGTCCTTGGCAGGCAGGTGGGCTCACTGTAGCTGTTAGCTAAGAGGCTAAAGGCTCTCAACTTCACTTCTTCGCCTGTCTAACTTGAGCAAACGTTAGACTGAGTCAGCATTTTAAATTTGGCTCTGACCGCTTGGAAATGAGAAGGTCGATGACACCCATGTTTTAAACAGACTAAGATTGTAGCATGTCAGCGTACTAGTGTTAGTGCAGGTTTTAGCTGTGGGGCTGTGTAGAAGATATTCAGTTTATAACAAGGCTAAACTGCAAAACCATTATTTTCAGAAACTTTGGCCTTGGTAATACTGGCTTTAATGAGATAAGGAAGTCTAGAAAAGTACACTTTAAGTAAACTTTGTGTATCAGCATATTCTGTTGTTGTTCCCAGATAAACTAGCGCAATGTATTTAGTTGGCTAATGCTCCCCTGATGCAGAGCATTTGAATAGGTATTGATTCTGTAACTAACCACACTGATAATAACTTTGGCTTTAGCAGTTTTCAAGACTTTCAGTATTTAGTCACACAGATAAAGACCCGTAATTATAAGGTTTCAGCAGATATCATTTAAGATAATTCTGCAGTGAATTGATGAGGATAATTGATTTAACAAGCTTCTGCAGCTAGCCAAACAAACGACATCATTACATTTCCTAAAGCTTTCCCCGAACACCAGCAGATCAGGGGGAGAGTCAGCATAAACACTTGACACTTTTCCTCTGAATGTGTGTGCTCCAGGGCTCTAGTGTTATCAGTCTGACTCACATCACATAAATCACAGAAGCTTCCAGAGCCTCCATGGCTTCCCACTCTGCAGCGAAAAACATCTGGCTGCAACTTTGAGGAACTGCCTGGACCTGAGCTGAGCATGTCGCTGGCACAGATTGCGATTCCCGCTTACGGCCCTGCACTTAAACATGCAAATAAAGATAATGCACACGCACAGGCTGAGCTCCAGAGACGGTGCTGTCAAGTGTCAAGTGACCAGGATGGCCTGCATGCTGGGCTCGCCCTCTGGCTGCTGTCGATGCCTCTCTGATTGATTCTGTCTTTCCTGTTTGGCTAATAAAAGCTCTGTGGGGAACACACACACACACTCACACATACACACATTCTGCATGCAGTGTGAAGCTGCTAGCGTTGCCTCTGGAGCTCACAGCTCTGCCCTGCTTGTGTTTATTTGTTGGTCACAGATCTGATGAGAGATGGCTTGCGTGGTATGTTTTGTGTGCGGTGTGTGTGGTTGACGTGGGGGCAGGTGGGAATGTGACTGTGTGGGTGTGTCTGCAATATGAGCCCTCTTGTGTACAGCTTATTTGAATGTCCACACATTGTGTGTGTTTGAGTGGCATGTTGGACACACTGAAAGACTGCATTCAGTACACATGAACCTTCACTAAAAATAAATCTGTGGAGGCCTCAAACTACCTCTGCTACGACTTTCCAAAAACAAATTCAACTTTTCCAGACGACTCTAAAACTGGAGCGTCACTGTCACAGCCAAACTATGGTGCACACACTCACAGAGACCAAATATAACCAGCTACTAATTAGCCTTCAGAAAGGCGACCTTGGGCCTTAATGTTATCCTTTGTGACAAATGAAGTATGGGCAGCAACATGAAGACTGCTCATTACTCTATGTAGAGGCCTCTGCTGAAAGAGGAGACATGCTGTGCCTCTACAGTCACTGTTTTGGGTTCTTTTCTGTCCACCCGTAGACCTCTTCATCAGTTTTTCTTACAAAGATCTCTAAAGAGGAACCACTCATGCAATGAATGAAGATTTACTAGATGTATCTGCAAACCTAACTGGGTAAAAACATCAAATCAACTTTTATTCATGTTGAAGTGAAATCATGCAAAGCCACAGAGAGAAAGTGGATCTGTACCCTGTTAGATTTTACACATTTTTGACAAGATCACAAAGGAAAATTCATAGCCAAAATTTTACAGTGACAATATCATCATAAATTTTCATCATCCATTTATACAGTAAGAAATTTTGAAGTTCCTAAAGTTCAAATGTATGGTTTACAAACTTTACAATTTTTTCTATCTTACATTTGTGTTTACTTATTTCCTGCAAACAAAAACTTACAACAAGCAGACTAACATTTCTTCCACAGTGTTAACTAAATAAATGTAAATGGAAACCAACATTTTGCAACAGTGTCAACAGGCAGAGGTGGCGTGTATCAGAATTCTTTTACAACAATTGATTTGAAATGATGTGTGTAACTAACAATTATTTACTGTCGTTAGGAGGTTTTGACCAATCAGAATCAAGTATCTAAAATAGCAGGGTGATCATGACTTTAGGTAAGAGGCTAACAGACAAGAAATTTAGCAGACTTTGAGTGTTGAACTGTATGCACAGCTGAATGTGAAGGTGTGTATTGCCAAATCAGTCGGTCTTAAAAAAAATTTGTCTGGATTTCCTTCTCCATCAGAATAAGGTATTTGGAAATATTGTTAAAGAACACTAAAATAGTAAGGATTTTGTTTCACTATTAAGATATTTCTTGTTGAAAAAACAACCAAAGAAATGACTGCGTAGCTTGAATATATGACATTGAGTTTCCTCGTATTCATGTGGTCCTAAAAGATGTAAGAAAGTGTGTTATCCGTGCCTAAAGTAACTCCAACACTCGGGATGTGTGTGTTGGAGTTAGATCAGTGTTTGCCTGCTATTCCCAGAGGATGTGACCATGAGAAACAGCTTCATCATTAGAGAGGAGTTTCAAAACAAAGTGATAAGAATATTAACTTTAGACACGGGAAGCCTCCTCTTCTTCACTGTTCAGAGGGAGGATGATTTAGTGTTGCTGATAGTGTCTTCCCTCTCCTTCCTGCTACACGCTGATTCATTTATTTTCCAAAAAAAAAAAAAAAAAGGGCAGGCCAGTCACTCCTCACTGTCTCTGAGACCTCTCCATTCACACCTGTACAGATGCCCAATAAAAACATGAGCCAGGAAGGCCTCACCATCACTTCTCAAGATACCTGCACATTCAACACACACTCCCAAATGCACCATCTCCTCCTCCTGTTCTGATAACTTGATGCATACTTGTTCTCTGACACATGGATGCACCAATAAGTTTCACTTCGACATTTAGTCTTATGACAGCCCGGTGTCACACTTAAGCTCCTGTGAGTAACTTTTGGTTTGGGTCAATTTTAGCACCACTTAATAGCAACGACAATTTGACATTTTATCATGAGGCCTTTGCAGCACTGACTCTCTTATGAAGGTAGTTTAAGAACCAGGGTTTTTAGGCTTGAAGGTAGCAGCCAAGTCTGTTTAAGTGAACAGACTTGGTACATTTGCTCTAAGATTTTATTAATCTCGAGTAAATCTGGACTTAAGAGCACTGGCTGGAGGTCCTTTCTGGACGTTTGCCTTCTGGGGTGTTCAGATCAGTCTTCTACCTCTCCATGATGAGAGGGGAGCTTGCTAAATTAATGTAATCAGTCTGCATCGTTGCTCTCCCTTCTATTTCTACCTCTTTGTGGTCTGGCTGCTGCTCATGCTGACCCACAGCCTTTCTAATTTGGTGATGAGCTGTAAAGTGACCTGCCGGCCCCCAGAGCGAGGCAGCAGGAGCGAGAGTGGGATTCCAGGGATTTCCTTACCGCTCAGTCTCTTGGGTTGGATGCATGATGGACTCTCTTCCTCGGACTCACGAGGAGACCAAGGCTCCAGCTCTTGAGTGCACCCTGGCATTGTTTCTGGGTCCCTCCAGGCCCCCCTGGGTAAGCTGAGATGCCAGGAATAATTGATGATGATGTCAGCCGTGGTATCTGTCCAGGTGAGGCAGCGGACACTTTCTCCCACCTCCTGCTGAGGGGTTACCATCCTGTCACCTCCATTTACACTAATTGGTTTAAAGTCACCGAAACTCACCCTTACATGTTTGTCAGTAGGGGTGTATGTGTTTCATTTAGGTAATTAGTGAATAAGATACACAGCTAATCTTCTTCCACAGATATTTTATGCCTCAAATAGTATAAATTGAATCTGATATATCTTAGAAGTGTATTTTAAGTGGTTTCACATGTGCGTAAACATCAGGCACTGCACAGTTAGTCCATGATGAAGGCTGTTGACGCAAAACATTCACGTCTGCATGCCCCTGCCAAAGTAAGAGTACTTTTTAAAGCTGATTTCTCAATCTTTAGGGGCTCTTCGTTGCTTGGTCTAATAGATAATTTAGTGTCTGGGCTTGACACGCTGTGCACCTTCTCCCACTGAGCCACCTGTACTCCTCATTGTTTCATTTCAGACTGCAGCAGGGGGACTGTCTGACTCTAATCCACGGCCACAGAAGAGGTTTAAAACACTCTGGTTTCATCTAATCTTCCAGCTCAGGCCTAGCCGAGCTTGAAACCCGCTTTCTCCATGATAGGAATGGACAAATAAAGGTCTCCCCCAGCACTCTCATGAAAGGGGCCTGTGTGCTCGGTGGATTAGGACCCTGTGTTTTCTCTGTCTGTCCCTCTCCATTAGACTGAGAAAGGGATGAAAAAATAAAGACTCTCCTGTTCCAGCAGTATTGTGAGGCTTTGTATGTTCTGTAGTTAGCACTCAATCCTGCTGTTTTTGAGTAGTCGAACTATTCAGGAGTTCAATGTAGAAGTATTATGAATAAGTTTAATGTGGTCTACTCAACTCAGAATTTATACTTAAAATGAAGCAAGCCCTGCCTCCACAAAGCAAGAGGAATACATAAAGGCAACAAATACACCTCCCCAGGCTAAATATCAGCACCACAGATGTGAAAAAACCTGAGTGTCAAGGTGAAAAGAGCTTCTTACATTATCAGGAGTTTAGCATCCCAATAAAAATTTGGCTTACTGAGTAATCGAACCAATTTCTCTACAAGGCTTTGAGGTGTGGGCTACACTGGCCAACTTAAGTCTTACAAAATCAAACGCCAAACTGAGACTCTGCATGTTAAAATTTGGCAAACTCATTCTCTATGTCCAACATAAAAACTAAATAATACATGCAGAGCCGGCCCAAGTGAACTAAGCGTCTGCTTAGGGCCTGCGGCCAATAAGGGGCCCTAAGAGCAATCAAAAAATAATAATAATAATATTTTTTATTTATTTTTTGCATGTATGAATGATGCTTTCTGTATGATCAAATATATATTATTGTAAAAACAATATAAAGTAAAAACCTTTTAGGTCTACTGCTGATATAGGCCTATGATTCTTACTGCTGATATGTCAAAGCTCAGCTACTGTTATGTGCCTTCTGCTGTGCAATGTGCACTGAGCATCCAAAGTGCAGGTAGTTGTGCAAAACAATGTCGCAAAAAAGGACGAGGAGAAAAGAACGAGGAAGAAGAGAAAAAACGCCAAGATAAAGGTTTGTTTGCATGTCATGGTATGTTAATCAAAGAGATTTGTGAAGGTGTGTGAATGAACAACAATCAATATTATTGGCAGAACTAGAGGGCCCCAAAATCAAATTTTGATTAAAGCCCCATTGAGGCTTGGGCCGGCTCTGAATACATGCATAAAAGAATTAGGATGGCATCCACCTTTGATCAAAATTATCAAGAGAGCATTTAAATATCTTTACCTTTTACTCTGTGACTGATCCAAATCATACAGAGTCAGTTAATGCAGCCTTGACATTGAAGGAGACCGCCACGGCCTGATGTGTCCCAGCACCCACTGCGCTTAGCAGGAGCTGGAAAGAGCAAAACATCTTAACCACATGCCAACTGTGGCAGGAAATCAAAGAGTCACTTAATCTGATCTGAAACAACAAAAAAGGATTCAGCCACAAGAACAATACGCAGAAACTGCCAAACCTGCTGTGCCAAGACAGCACAAAACCACGCCGCACAAATCTGATGACACCTGTTATATCCACTGACAACCATCCACACGGATTAAAGGGTGATGAGTGTTAACACAATTGTCTCTTTTGTAATCAAAATCTTAAGTAATCTTTAATGTTGAATTATTTATTATATGTTTTTTGTTCTTATTTTGTATCTGTATTCTCTTTTTTCTTGTTTGCTCTGACGGTGAGAACCAGAGGGAGAGAGAGAAAGAGAGAAAGAAGGAGGCAGGGAGATATATATACTACAACAATTGGAGCAAAAATGTGAGCATGTCAGTTTGAATCTGTGACTTGAAAAATGGGATTTGTGCACCTGTCATTAAGATTTGTAAATGTGTTAATGTTGTGTTGTACTTGTGGAAATAAAATAAATCTACAAGTACACAACTCATAGAGTGCGGATTTCACATTTACTCATACACATACACATTTACTGTACACAACCACAAATCACATGTTACGGATGCACAAACCTTTTGCACTAAAAATACCTTCATGGAGAGAGAGAGAGAGAGAGAGAGAGAGAGAGAGAGAGAGAGAAAGCGCTTTTTATTTCAGACAGGCACCTGCGTGGACAGCTTCCCGGATGTAAATAGAGGTCCTTTCACTCCGGCGCATGTTTTGTATCTCCTCCGCAGAGTTGGCTCCCCGTCTCTCGTCACTGTCTAAACACCGGTACCTCACTGAAATGGTATTTTGTAAAGTTTTGTTAAAGCTTCTTGTACTAAATTGACCTTCCTTTACTCAGCCGTAAAGCCTCTTGTCTTTCATCGGTGGTTAATATTTGTTGTTAACAGCTGAAGTCGATGTTTGTTAGCCTGCTGCTAACCGTCCTGTAAACTCAAAACTTTAAAGGAGGTCCTTTAAAACACAAATACTCTCAGTTTTACCTTTCTTTACACCAGGTTATTCTTTAATAGCTAAATGTTGATTTCCTTAATGTGTCTTAGAAAGACGGACTAACCAAACCTCATTTAAAACTCTTGTTATTGAACGGTAAACAGATTTATTTACTGTTTTCAGCTGTGCTGTAAAGAGAGGTATAGTACGGCATGTTTTTCTGTAAATAGAGGAGTTTATGATCAGTATACATGAAACTAATCTCACAGTTTTTAGCCGTTAAAACGCTGTCACTTCTGTTGAGGGTTATTTGCAGACAGGTTCAACTCAAACTGGCTGTTTTTCAGGAACTATGAAGGACAGTGATCAGTGGAAACGAGCCTCAAGAAGACATTTAATGTACAAGTTAACTTACTTTTCAGAAGGGGACTATTCCTGTATTACACTTCCTTTTATTTTTGATTAAACTTGGGAATTATTCCTATAAATCTGAGATACTTGTTATCTGATATGTCATGTAAGTCAAAATCATCAAAATAAGAACAAATAAGCTTTGAGATGTTTCACTTTGTATGCAACATAATTTCTAAACAGATATAACAAAACGTTTTCTCAATATTGTAATTTTTATTTGGCCCACTGATTACAGTGTCTATTGTGTTGCAGCTATTTGATAATAAACATTAAGCTCCATTTATACTGCAAGATTACCCTTATAAAAAGATAACTTATTGTATTTGAAAATAATATATGAGCTGAACAAAAGCTCTATTATGATTAATTCAAATAAATCAACCTTGTATATTGCCAAATTTACTGTTTATCTTATGATGTATGCTTTTATTTTCATAAAAAGTTGGATTATGTTGGGCTGTCTAGGTTTTGAAGTTTGATCTCAAAGAGTTTGAGATGGTAAAGTATCAAAAGAGGCTTTTGAAACAACAATTAAAAAAGTTAACAAAGAGACTTTCTTGCATTCAACTGAATTTGTGCTCTCTCAACAATAGTATCATGAAAGCCTGAATGAAGTTAAAGGTTATCACTTTTTTAAGTTAGTAAAATTCTGTTTCCAAGACTAAGATAGCTTGAATAATGATCAGAATATAAAGTAATGAATACTGAGCTATAAAAAATAGACACTAACTGTCTGTTATTAGCTAATTCTTTAGACCCACTTAAATCTTAATTATTTGAAAGTTAAAGTACAGTAAATTTCTGCCTTTTCCCAAATCAACAAAATGTCCAACAAGCGTAGATGCTGTTGTTTAGGAAAGATATCAAAGTTCACTTTAAACCAAAGCAAAAATTCATTGTGTCATTCCTTGGAGTGATCTGAAACAACTAATTTCCTGGTTATTAAAATGGAAATGATTTTTTTGACTAACTTACTGGTCTTAAGGTAAGAAAACTGAAAATAAAAGTCCAATTTATTTTAGATTACTTAACTTTGGATCACAGAGTCTGCCAGTAAACAACGTCAAATTGGTTTGCTGAGTGTAACATTAGCAGAGCATTGCATCTATTTTAAAAGTATTGCAAATTTAAGAGGCTTGCTTGTTGGGTGCACTCTGAGTTGTCAAATTGACCCTGGAGCTGATATGGTTATGCTTAACTAAAATGTTATTTGTCATCTGTTTGGGGTTTTTAATCAAATTCATCGTCAGAGTTCTTGCTGCCCTCCGGAAACTGTTCATCATGTCCAAACAGTTGTCACTCTGTCAAACATTTCACCGTCCATTACTTAGCCTTTATGCAGTCACTCATCACTCACTGTAGATGACTGACAGATGTGGTACTGTGGGGTGTGCCGTTTGACAGAGTATAGCTCACTGTTTTTTTTCTGCGTGTTGTGTTTTCTTACAGTATGATGTCTTATCAGGATTATTGCACAGAGAAACATCCATCTGTTTCCTTGTTTTTGCAGTATGGACAGCAGAATCCTCAGCCTATCACACCCTGAACGTGTGGAGATGTATGATGACACTCAAGCTGTCAACCCTCTTGTGTCCCTTTATCCTCAAGTGTCCAGGTAAATGACCTCATGGAGGAAATGGGTGATAATGCAAACAGATAAGGCTCCAGGTACCTGTTGACCACAGTGGAGACCTCCTAAAACAGGACCCTCTGACACAGTGCTCCATCAGTGCCTGCCTCAGTGACACCCACAAGGCATTTAGCTCTTATCTGCAATGGCCCCTGCTTAGCATTCACGCCATTCACGCGAACAATGCCACCTCTTCCCACTCAGTGGATCTGTGACTGACAGTGGGTGTTGGTGCACTTGTGTCCGACTTCGGCCTCTGTCCGCCGCTGGTCTGTTTATCCAGCCCAGATAAACCCACCAAGACACAATAAAGGGCGTGTGTCTTCCTCGCCACTTCCCGTGTTGTTTGTGTAACTGGACTTTAATAATGGAGCTTGCTCTCTATTTGGCAGGTTGGTTTCCTCCTCTTAAAGATCTGTATTATTTGGGGGAGGGTTAGGACAGAAAAGCTAACTAATGGTCATAAAGTCAGCTCACCACCCACTGACCAGGCAGAGAGGAGGAAGTGTCCCTTTGGCGAGACTGTGAAAAGCAGGGAAATAGTAGATAAGAGCGCTGCCTGTGGTAGAGTGACTAATAACTGAGGTATGGTGCAGCAGCAGAGGATGGATGAGGTGTCTTCTTCTCTAAAAATGCATATTTTTCAAGCTTAAAAAAAAAAAATGCTATTATTTGAATGTTATAAAGTCGGCTTTTCATTTGACGGCCTATCTTGAATGTGGCTTTTGAGTTGTGTGTAATCTACTTTGAGTTTTCATCACGCAGCTCAGATCTCATATTTGATGAGGCTGATATCAGCAAAGGATCTTGGGATCCCATGCCTCTATAATGGCTCCTGTGAAGCTGGGCATTATAAAGCTTCTATAATAAACCCCCTGTGATCAGTATATCCTTCCCTCCCTGCTCTTATTTATGAATGGCAGAATTTGACAAGGGGGCAGCTCGGGTAGGTAGCTGCCGATCACATGATACCAGGACTAAAGAGTCAGGCGAGGAATGTGGATGGGACTCCCCCTTTAGCCCTGGTTTAAAAAAAAAAAAGGAAAACTTTGATGCCCCATATCATAACGAATACCGTCTCTGCCCCCTCCCTCAAGCTCTCATATGTGCTGCAATGCCGTGGAGGAGAGGGGGGCACTGATAGTGGCTGCGTTTGATCTGAAGGTCGCCAGCCCCTTGCTGGTGTTGAGAGATCCTTGGCGGACGAGGCTGGCTCTTATTTAATAACATGAAGGGGAAGCGGACCTTTCTCTCATAATTAGGCCTAATTACCCAGTAGGTGTGGACAGACGGCCCAAGAAGAGACAAACTGCCTTTATCCACGGACTTAGAGTCAGATTACCCCCGAGCTGTCTTATCTGTTACAGGGCAAGCAGGAGCCTCAATCCTCCTCTCCTGCCTCTTCCCACTGGCTCAGGTTTATTAATCAGTCAGTCTGATTTATCACAGCCTGTCCACCACTCACAAGTTTAATTAGTCCGAGCTATTTGCCCTGTTCTGCAGTTTTTCTGATATTTATCCTGGGGACGTTTTAATAAGCAGTTCTGACTCATTGGGTATCAGTTATCCATCCCTCAATCACTTTAAAGTTTCATTAAAACCACCATGATCGCCAGAGGTTTGTTTTTCTAGATGAACAAGCAACTGTCCTTCACAATCTCATCATTCTGTCTTTGCAACAACTAACATTCACCAGCGTGATTGTTTGCTCAGTAGCCTCTATGTTAGCGAGAACAATTTAAAGGTTCTTGCAAATAGATTTGAGTGACATCCTGCTGCGGTTTTGTTTGTTTACGGTATCCTTCTCTCCCTTCCTGAGCTGACTCCATGTTTGTATTTGGGTTTGTGTGCAGGGGTGACACACTTGCATCCACCTCAACAGACCTATTGTTGGGGGGGACTGTAGAAATGCTGACGCCTGGAAAACTGTTGAGGAAATGCTGACAAGGAAAAATGGCCACTTTACATTTTAACATCTACATCTAGTAAGAAAGTCTTTTTGTATTTGCTGTTAGTGTAAAACTTTCTAGAGATGTGTGTCAGTATCAGCCCTGAAAAAACAATATTGGTTGACCCCTGATCTCTAGCTTGTTGGTAGATGGGAACACGAAGTGTCCTAAAATCTCATGGGTGGACCAACACTGGCACCACATATCGTTACGGACTGCTGAAACTCCTCACCGGACTTTAAACATCTTGGGTTCAAGAGTGAATGCACCTGTTGTAGTCCCGCCACTGAGGACATCTGTGTGTGGTGGTTCTTGATGTGCTGACTTGGCCTCAGTCCGCTCTTTGTAGAGATTTCCAACATCTGACGGTAAAATTTACTTGTTCATATTATTCCTGTATGATGAGATGCACCTGTTTGTGTCTTGAACAGGCTTTGCAGTCCTCAGGTGACATCTCCACCCCTGTCCCTACCTCCCATCTGTGATTGACAGTGAGCTGTAGCTGCTCAGTGAGAAGTCTTGCAGCTCTTGACCTTGTATGAATAAAAACGGCTACTTTAAGTCCGCTGTGTCCATGACTCACAGCTCCAAGCAGGTCTGCTACAAAAAAGACAATAAGGAGCTCCTAATCCACCTGTTGTCAGGGTCAGCCTCACCCCGTCTCATACTCACACAGGTACAGGGCTCTGGCTCAGGAATGCAGCCTTACCCACCCTTTCACAGCTTAACTGATGGACCCTCACAAAAACCCTGTTGATGGTTTTTGCCATTTCTGTCATACCACACTGGGGCAGGTTTGTACAGTGGTTGTCTAAGGGTTTCCTGTTGGTTTAGTTGAGGGGTCATACATGATGGTCAGGTAATTTCTTAAAAAATTGAATTTTGGACATTTTTTTTGTTCACAGGGAAAGTTTGTATTTTCTACAGGTAGTGAGTTTTGTGTCTTTTTTTTAAGATACCGGTAAGACCGCTGTCTTGTCTTTGCCCTGTGAGTCCATCAGACAGCAGCATTGTCTTAATTAGGCAGGCTGGTCAGGGGTCTCTGTCTCCTTGTCTCCTCGCTTCACAGATTCACATGGACAATTTAACCACTAACCTCCTGAAATGAGTTGCCCCTGAATGCCTCGGGCTCCAGTTTCAGCTTCCACTGATTGCAGGGATCAATGATAAGTAAAAGTGGAGGAGGGGTTGATGGAGGTGAGGTTCTGCTCATTAACTCAGGTGACCTCAAATGCATGGCTACCCATATTGTGGGTTGGATTGAGGCTGATGTCCATTTGCATGTGCTGCTTAAACGTCACTCAAGTTGAGAGGTTGCATGCATTTTAACCAAACACAGCACGCATGCAAAATTATATCCATTTTCTGTGCCATAAAGTGCAGGCGCTGCACACAGACAGGTGCAGTTGAGTTGATTTTGCTTATCCTGATCTTTGTTGAAAGTCCTGTTTGGCTCTTTCTGGTGTTGTCGGGATGGTGAACATGTTCTTGCAGATAATCAGGTTAAAGAATAGGTTCATTTTGGTGCAGGAGGAATTCAATTACAATCCCAAGGTGTGGCATAAAAGTGCTCTCGTTCAAACTTACTAAACGCTGGTATAAACTGCTCAGGGCTATCTGTCATTCTCCCCACGATCAGCAGCAAGCATGCAGAGATGGAAACACCTCTTTTGGAGCTATCACTAAAAGTCATTTATCTTTGATTGCGCTGCAGGTTAACGTTGATGCATCATTTCCTAGCAGCATACCTGCGGTTGGTTGGGTTTCCTCGGCTGCCCGGCCTACAACCGACATGAAAGCCTGAGCTGTTACCTCTGCCTCTGGGACAACGGCTGTTGATCACAAGAGGAGAGAAAAGCCTGAATCTCTCTGTGTTTACTGTAATTAAGCTGTCAGGGGCTGTGATTTATGACGTATTGAGTCAGAGAGGTGTTATCATGTTGACTAGAAGCAGGATGACACTGGAAGAGAGTGAGAGAGAGAGAAGGGAGGGAGAAAGAGCCAGAGGGTTTGTAGCTACTAACAATAGAGAAAGTACAGACAGTGGATTAACGCAACTGTCTGATTTGGAGGAATAATGCTTAAAGGCAAACTGGAGCTGCTGTATTAGAGTCTGTGCTCACCAAAACAAAGAGGTGATCCCATTTAAGGCCTTGTCTTAACTTTTTATGTTCCTGTAATCCTCCAATAGAGTCCAACCAACCTGTTTTGACTGACGCAGGCCATAAACCGGCTTTTAAATGTTGGGGTGTTCACTGAAGATCTGCATATGTGAGCTTCACTGTTTTTGCAGCTCCTCAAACTCCTCTCTGAGTTAACTTTTTCTGTTTGTTTCAGTTGGATCTCACACACGAGTTTGCATATTCTTTGCATTCACGCATTGATCTCATGAAGCGGGGATGTCTAGTCCTGCTCCGACCCCTGTCTACACCCTGAGGGGTGCCGGTGGGCCCCTCAATACCCTTCACTTTAGCTGCCATGATGCGGACACTCCCCTCCTGTATTCTGGGTGAGTCATTTATCAGGATGGTCATATTTTGACTCTTTGTTTTCATATTGACATGTTGAGATTCTTTCCCTATTTTTTTTTACACCCGTACAAACTAGAACTTTTTCTTCTTTTTGAAATGAAAAGAACAAAGTCAAGTTTTATCTGTTTTGATCATAATTATTTTCTAGTATTGGAAAGAAAGCATGCCCTAAGTTATGTTAATTTATGCCAAGTTATGCCAATCAGAGCGGACTTCAGAATTTTTAAATGGGTACAGAAGCTGGATTTGCAAAAGCAGATTAGATGATATTTTTATTTTTTTATTACATTAAACAGAAGCAAATTTAACTTGTTTTTCTTTCCTAAAGCTCCTGTGAGGAACTTTTTGTTTGTGTTAATTATTGTGCCCCATGTGGACACCGAAACTGTGCCAAATTAGTGTCATCTGACAGAAAATCTCCTCCTGCTGACTATCATTTTGAATATTTAATGTAAAAACAGTGCTGTTTCTTCATCTGCTAGGTTGACACATACCCACTTTTACAAATATGACAATATTAAAACCATCAGTCTTGTCGCTGACGCCTTTTGTGCATTACTAAAAGGCATCAGTATGAATTTTAGTCAGTTTTCTAAATCTCATAAAACTCTTTACTAGAGCTTGAGGTATGGATTAAATTTGTGTGCTGTTGTGTATTCACTGTCTTGTTGGGTTCTGCAGATCAGGGAAAGGCTTGATCCACGTCTGGAACCTAAACACCAGAAGAGCCAAGAAGATTGTCAAGGGACATTCTGGTAACTCGATCATCTGGGTGAGCACACTGCAATCGACTGATGCCCTTATCAGGTGAGGATGACAGTGAAGAAAGACCTGTGAGGCTGGAATAATTAACTAGGGACATTCTTCTGATACACGTGTTGAAATAAAAATCATCAAAATGTCCAAATAATTCCAGCTCTGATTGTTTTTTCCTCTTTCTCTCGGTGGAGCAGTCAGGGCCGGGACATGCTGGTCTGTCTGTGGGATCTGAGCGAAGGTCGCAGTGAGATGGTGGACTCTGTGTGGACCGGCAGTGTTGGATTCTGTCAGTGCTCCATGCTGGAGATGAGCCCTGGAAACCACCTGCTCGCCTTTCCTGGAGAACAAACAGAGGAGGTGAGACATCATGGGTGGAAACTCCAAACTGTCTGTGGATAAGAGTGTGACCGTGTCCACGTGCCTCTTTATAACTTTCTGAGCAATCCATTTTTACTTCGCTTCCTACCAAGTGCATGCTGGGAAAAGCTCAATTCTGACACAATCCCAAAGTGCATAGATTTAAAGCTTTAACATATCTAAAAATGACAGTACACGTTCATTCACATTTGTTCAGTAAGAGGAAAAATCGTTGAATTTGACAGAGGGGAGGTGGGATGGTTAAACTTTTAAACTGCCGACTGGAGTATAAATATGCCAGCCTGTAAGAACCTGACCAGACTTGCTGTTGACATTTTGCATGATACACACGAAACTCTCAAACATATTTGTGGCTTTTAGTTCTGTTTTTCGGGTTAGGAGAAAATTAGAAGTCCCACAGTGATCAAATTCCTATCATCTTTTCGTAATAACACACTCTGATCTGTTTCACTGTTGTCTCATCCATTAAATGAAATCACTTCAATTCACCCGAACAGACGAGCCGATATTTTTAGCGGTTCAGGAATGTGTCACGAGTCAATGCGACATGTGAGCACACTGTTTGCAGCCAGGAAATGATACACTCGACTCTAATCAGCATCATTAACAAACCAGCCGTCATATCATGACTCAGCATGCACATTGCAGGATTAGTAACTCCATACAAACCACCAGCTTAACTTGGGTTAATTTGACACCGGCTATTATTAAAGATGAGAACATTAAAGATTTATGATAGTGATTCTAATAAACTAAGACTGAGGAAGAGTCACTTCTGCTGCAGACTTAAAGTGTCGCTGATTTCTCTGGAAACTGGTGTTAATTGAAATAAATCTCCTCCTGTTGTTTTTGCATAGACAGGTTAGTAACTTACTGTGAATATTTGCAAAACAGACAATACTGGATAGGTGGGATCATCTGGTCCTCAGGTCGCACAGATCTGACTCTGTAGTGGAAATCACAGCATTGGCTCAAAATAACTTCTAACATGCAGCTCATCACTGCATCCACATTACTAGTCAAAACTGTACCATGTAATATGAAAATCTTGCCACGTCTTTGGGCCTGAAACCATTTAAGATGGATGAGGTGAAATGGGAGACTGTCCTGTGGTCTGATAATACCTGATATTACTTATTTTTTTAAATATAGATGCTCCTGTGCTCCGAGGAGAGGAAGGACCACTCAGCTTGTTATTAATACACAGTTCAAGGGTCATAATCTGTGATGGTATGAGGATGTGTGAGCATTCGTGGTATTATTTTGTTTGTTTGTTTATTTGGATCCCTTTTAGCCTAGTTGGGTTATTCTTCCAAGAGTCCATATCATAAAAAACATTACAAAATACAATACAAACACAATACATTATAACAGAAACACAATACAAACCAAAAAAACATACACACAACACACAAATGGCATTACTGTCAATCACTGTCACGCAGTTACAATAAAAAAAATTTCAAGCTCTGTTGAAGCTGGTGGCTCATATATTTGGGGAAGCGCAATTAATGCTGCTACTCAGACAATGGATTTTTCAAAGTAGACATTTTATTTAATAGAGAGCTAATGCCAAATCACATCATGCATGTATCACAACAGTATGACTCAGTAGTAGAAGAGTCTGGGTGCTAAACTGGCTCACCTGCAGTGCAGACTTGGTGCATCATAAAATGGAAAACACAGCAAGAGACTGAAAGCTGATGAGCAGAAATCCCACTTCAGAAAATCCTTTATATCCTTAGTTGGTAGGGTGTTTTTAAAAGAAGAGGTGATACCAGCAGTGTTCTGACTTAATTGGATTTGAGGTTGTCCACCTTTGACCATTTTTTTTGTGTGCAGTAAACAATTGGTTTGGATGTGATATTCAGACAGTGTTGAATGCATTTTAGACTATGTAGCATAACATGGCCATTGTACAGAAGCCACAAGATACAAAACCCAAACACAGTTTGAAACAATCACTGATTGAGAGCCTACGCACCATATAAGTTCTCAGTTAATTCTGCAGAGTGTGTCTTGTAGTTGATGAACTCATGCCCAACACACACAAGCCTGCAGTTTTTTTGAGGGAGGATGAGGAGAGGGCAGCCAGCGATTCAGCCATCTTTTATTGCCTCCAGATTCATGTTACTTGTTTCCCTGCAGAGGAGCCACACTTGAAAGGGACAGAGCGGTCACCTGATCCAGCTAAACGTGCCTCTGCTAACCTCTGTCCAGCAGGCCAGGCATCAGGGCGCCTGTGACTCCCAGCACCTCAATAATGCCATTGTCCATGCTGACACAGACACACACACAGACACACACACACCCATACAAGTCAGACCAAAACAGGCCGGGGTTGATTTTGTCATTCAGTCTCCTCATTTCATTCCTCAGACATAACCGGCCAAGACAGATGCTTATCACGTGTGTGTGCACATAAAACACGTTAACCAGTCCCTTTAAGAAACAACGTGCACAATGACATGATTAAAGCAGGTAGGTCAATATTTAGGAATGCAACCAAGACCACAGAATTAGTTCCCGCCATGACTAATTCAGATGGTTTTAGTGTTTACTGTTCACAGTGAGATCTTTGCCAGCAGATTTCTTCCAAGGTAGAAACATTAATTAATAGTGTGGTTGTTTTTTCATAGGCAGAATGATGCCACACAAGAACAGCGATCACCTGAGGCGCAGGGAAGTCCTTAAAGGCCCTCTTTGTCAGGCACGCAGACGTAAACATCCAGGACAAATGTGGCCCAGCGCTAAAATACAGATCACTCCCTTAAAGCGCTTTTAAGGCCTAATGAGGATGAATATGTGGATCATCAGCACTGAGGAAGTGGAAGGAATGACTTTTAGTAGTGATGCGGGGTGAGCACTTTATCACTGGCTCCATTAGGCTGTGTATTTTATCCGAATCAGTGCCAATGTGTGCAGGAAAACACCACTCACGTCGCAGGGTCTGGCTTTAGCAGGATTTATTATAGACAGTGGGACGGCTGCTCCGCGCTGATGGATGGTACTGTACCGCTGGTTAGAGGCGCCCTGATCTGCGGAGGTCCCGAACCACAATGACAGATTCAGGTTGCTGCTTTGTTATTTAAATCCAGAAGACAAAGAAACCATGATAGGGCAAACAAATGTGTGAACAACATCTTTTGTGTGCAGCTGTAAGTGGGTCACAGTGTGGAGCGTCATAGAAACTGTAGAATAAAAACTCAACACAGAAACATCCACATAATAAAATAAAAAAGTGTCCTCATGTTTAAGGTCGGGAAAGTACAGAGTGCACTAAAGGACTTGTGCGTCGTTCACTACAGACGATTGCACTGCATTGCATTGTCGCTGTACAGTTGTGTCACAGGGTCATGTCATTTTTCTACTACTTGTATTGTCGGTGTGTAAATCAAAAGCCAGATAACTGGTCAGATCCTGTATGCTGACCTTGATCCTTGTGATGTATGAAAGGAGAGAGGGTTAGCACTCCCCCTGACAATGATGGAAATGGCCCTGGTGGCCTTCAACACACATACGGTTAAGGCATTGCCACCTACTCGACATTTCTAACCATGTTATTTTATTTTACTATTTTGTTTTGTATTTAGTGTACATACTTGTACATTATCGCTTTATTTTTTACTTATTTTTTTCTTACTTTATATATTTATCTCCTCTTCTTTATTTGCTCTTGAGTTTCTGTAACAAAAAGCTCTTACCCCCTGGGGATTATTAAAGTATTTCTGATTCTGATTCTGAATCTGATAATCCACTAAGGCAGGTAACTGGTCCAGTCCTACTTCTGTGTCTCTGGTTTTGCACCAAAACTAACCTCTGGTATGTTTGAGACCGCAATAATCCATATCAGATTATGAGTCTATACACGGCTGACAAAAGTGTTACCTACAATGCAACTTGGCCAATAAATGATCTTTGAAAGATTCGGGCATGCTTCTACTTATGTCACCACATGTGTAAATAAACTTCTGTTGAGGTTTTAGATATAGAAACTGATTTTTATTGCATATTGAATTTTAGCTTGCTGATGTGATACAGGTAATGTACTCGCACCTGTACAGAATAAGGAGGTTTAATGGGCAATAATTAAGATTTCCTTGTCATGTGTCCTCTGTAGATCAAGATCATCCAGCTGCCCAGTAAGACTCCAGTCTGCACCCTGGTACCAGACGCCAAAGTGGGGATGGTGATGTGTATGAAGCTCTGGCAGGTAAGCACCACTTAGAACTCTCTGATACCTTTTAAACCGAAACCACTTTAACTTAACCTTAAATAAGTTGCACTGTGTCCTTGTGTTGCTATGCAACTCCAAGTTCACCCAGTTCACCTTGGCAGCCATTATCACCCTCCCCTGATTTCGCTTTTTTCAAATGGTACCGCGTCAATTCTTACCTGCTTTATCCTGATTGGCCAGCAGCCCATACTTAAGCGGAATAATAGAAAAGTCAACAAAAAATGCACATGAGAGATGTGGCATATGATTTACAGCCCAACAACTCGTCCTGGGCCCTTTTTTCCGAGCATTTCTTCTCAGCTGGCAGCGAGTTCCGACACTGTAATTAGAGCGTTTGGAAGGGCCGGGGGTTCACAGCAATATATCAGCCTGCAGCTGTACATCCAATCTGATCCCAGCGAAAAAAAAACGTCGCTCTCTGTTGTGTAAATGCTGTCGAAGGTTTTATTTTTTTTCCCCGGCCATTAACGAGACCCTGTAATTATTTTTATGGCTAATTATTAACTCTTTGGGTTTCAGGCTCTTGGGGGGAGTGAGGTTTCAGACTAATGCAAGACTCTGAACAGTTTGAGTAAATATTATGTGCCGTACAGTTTACAGGCAACAGAAAGCAAAACGAAGCCTCTAATTTTAAAGCCGGAGTGAAACAGGGTTGCTGCTTCTACTCCCTCAGTCCTGTATTCCTGTAACTCTAGTGAGAAATTCTTGAATAAGGTTACAGCAAAGGTTGTAGAGGTGTGTGTATAATTATTCCAGCGACATGCAGAGAGGCTGTAGGAGCACGCTGACGTGTTTGTGTTTTTCCCTCTCTCTCTTTGATTTCCCTCTTACACCCACCTTTCATCATCTGATTTATGAAGCAGCGCTGCTTGAGCGTTGAGTGCCAGGAAACATAATGATCAATTATATCATTATAAATTATACAATATCATTGTAATACAGCACAGGCAGCTGTCTGACTTCAAAGCTGAAAGGCCCAGGTGATCCTAAATCATTTTCAGGCCGGTTTCTTTCAAGACCGAGGCGGCGCGTTCATCTGTTACACTGACTGAGTGACTCGAGAGGACAGAGCAGTGGGAATAGACGTAATACCCCCGTGTGGAAGTGTGTGTGTCTTTTATAAACACACACACACGCACACACACATGCAGGTTAGAAACTCTCCCTTTACATATTGTCCGTCAGCCACAAGTAAAAAAAAAATGCTCATGCTGACTTTTACATCAAATGCTCATCTGGTACCTGCTGTTTCCTTAACCTCACACAGCAGGAGGCTCCAGCTGTAACCATCCTCCTCTTTCTCCACCCTGTCTCCCTCCATCACGCACACATCATGCAGAAGAAGAAGCCACTGACAACACTCTTCTCTTTGTCCTCCCTCTTTTCTTTACTGTAAGAGACAAGAAGTGATTATCCTCCATTATTTCCACGACAGACTCACCAACAGATTTATAGTCGGCCTTTAAGCCCTTTAGATTAAACACAGTGCTAAACTGCACTTTCTTCTCACTTCAACACAATCCCACCCAGACCTCAGATCATGTGTTTTACTGAGTGTGAGAGGTGACACAGCCACCATCTCATGACTCTGGATCTGATTGGCTGTGAAGCAGTGAACAATAGAGTGGACACGGAGGGAGTGAGCGCCTCCACACGTGGGTTTTACGTGTGTGAGGATGCAGGTCTCGGCTGTGGGGGCAGTATTGATGTATGATGTGCTAGGCTTTTAATGTGAACAGAGGCTGGCGGGGAAGAGGAAATGTTCCTATACAGATATCCATCACTCTCAGCTCATCACCTTACTGCCTCGTGGCCATGACATCATGGTGGAGCGGGACAAAAAGCGGAGGAAGCGATTGGTTCCTGATGTTGAGGCTGTGGCGGCCACATCAGCAAACAAGCCGCTGGTCTCTGGGTAGTTTGTGAGTTTGAAAGATTCACCACAGGAGGAAATGACATGGAAGTGTTTGTAAAGTATATTAAAGATTCAGGATGTCACTCAACATTTCTCCTTTAATTACAAATGGACTTTATTACTTTAATGTGACAGGGAGAGTGCTTACTCGTCAAACCAAAAAAGAAGATTAAACAGAAGTTAAAAACAGGCTGAAACTGACAGGGATGCTTTCTTTTGACCTTTAAACGCAAACAAGATCATCACGACGAGTCAGAACATCATTTGGTTGTAATTCTAAAACCACTGTGAGGTGATAGAGGCATCACTTTGGCCACAAGGGGCGCCCAATCTGGTTTAATCCAAAAGTTCCTCACAGCAGCTTTAATGTTCCTGCTAATAGAAGTGAGGAAGACGTAATTTTACAAAGTTAGGTTTACAGGAAACAATAATCATGTCTTCAGTTGATTCGTGAAAATTTAACTTTAACAACCTTTAACCAGATAATCTTAGGCGCCAACACCAGGAGGGCCCGAACCCGAGGCTGGAAACCAACACTCTAAATTCATGTAGGGTTACTGCAGCAGTATTGGACTACATACACAAACCACCGGCCTATGATTGTTTCTGAATGTATTCAGGGGCACATGTGCACATAAAAAAATCAGCCGAAGCAACAGATGTCTTTCTTTGTAAATACCGTGGTGAAGTTGGCTTTAAGTTGGATATTTGACGGACATCCACTGCAAATCTACCGATCTAACCAGGAATAGCAACAGCAGCACGGTGTCAACGTTGGGTGTTGAATAAGGGACAATCAATAAATTACCAGTTCTCAAAGAAGGCTGTTTTCCTTCAATAGCTGTCATGTCATGTGACTAAAAGACCTAAAATTGATTTCAAATAATAATACTTATGTAGACCAATAAGACAAACATTATTTGATCAATTTTCTTTGTGCCCCTAAAGTTCTTTGTGTGCTCCATACTTTTTCAACTTAGGAGCACATGTGCCCTTTGCGAAAAAAGTTAGTGTCAAGCCCTGTGTTGGTAGTAGATCCTCTAACTCCTGTAGGTTGTGTCTCCATGGATCAGACTTGGCTGTTCAGCATGTCCTGCAGTTTGGAGTCTAAGTCAACTCGTCTTACTTCTTCCAATCGCTCTGGGGTCCAGTTTTTATGCTCACATGTCCATTGAAGATCCTGCAGAGGTGGACAGGTCCTGAAGTTCTTACCAATGTTAAGGCTGCGTTTGATCTAATGGACCAAGGACCAATCTGAACACTGAGTTCAGTAATGAAAAAAAGCCAAAGGGTTCTTTAACCATGAACAGGCTCAGGCCCAACTTGTTGCCCTTTTGCAGAAGCTCCAGTCTGCTCTGGTGGTTCATCTTCAACCAGCTTCCATCCATCTGTCTCTCCAGCTGTTCTCTGGTGATGAATCTGCTCCCTGAGCCCCAGCCCCACTCCAGCAGAGAGCCCTCTTGTAGAAAGGCCTGCGGAGGATATAATGAATTAGGTGTCTACCCAGGGTTCCTCGACCTCTGACCCATGACATCATCAATCAAGGAGGTACTACACTTAAGTGAAGCGGTGGGCCCCAAGCTTGGGACGCTTAGCCCTGCCCCTGCCGGCCAGCGAGGGCCAGTGATTTTCACTTGTTTTTATTTGTTTTCATAATGCCTCAGTGTTCGTCGTCCTGGCTGATGTGTTTGGAAGGAATACACGACTCTGTCTATAATTTGTTTAAAGCTGGGAGAAGAGAAATATCGAGCGTTAAGTGAGAAGAGGGCTTGAAGATGGATGAAAATATGGCAGGCGAGGCCCCTTTGCACATATGGAAAAAATTTCTCTCCCTTTTTTGCTTCTGCAGGGCACCGAGCTTTAGCTGAGGGCCTGCTGGTATTTTAAAGCTAAAACCACGAGTCAGCACTAATAGTATGTGAGCTCAAGTCTTTTGAAATGTTGGACAGTGAGTGTTGTGTGGATTTAATATTTGGATGTAAAGGTGTACTTCATTGACATACGTAGCAGAGTTGTGAGATTCAGGAGAGTCTGGTTGTGTACAGATGTGACCAGTTGACCCTTCGTCTCCTCTGTGTCCCCTTTCACTGTACACTTCCTCACACACACACTAGGGTAGAACAAACCAGTTATTAATGGGAGCTTATCACTGACCCCATCCTGATGAGAGGAACAACTGCGTCACTTTTCTTTTTATACCTGTTAACTATAATTTGTGCGTGGTACAGTCTGTCCTCTATGTGTTTAACAGACTGATCTAGTTTTCGCGTCTGATGCCTGCTCGGTTTCATCTCATTTGATCTGGAAGATTTACTCTGATGGTTTCACCAGTCGTAAACATCTCAGCTGGATCCAAAACACCCCGGGGTGAAATGAGGAGAAAGCAGATCTATTCTTTTTCTATTATTTGCTCTGGTGTGAAAGCAGATCTGCTTCAGTGCCTTTTGATTTGGAGTGATTGGACAATTACTGGCTGGTTCGGTGACATAAATTTTGCAGATTTATGAATTCTTTTTATCAGGGATTCCCAAACGGTGCAGCCCAACCCCCCCAAAAAAACAAACACTTCCAAAGAATGCTGACACCCACTGTCCCTCCAGGCGGTTAGATGATGCTCACTGAGGAGTGTGAGCACAAACAGGCCAATCCAAAAATGAACGTAAGAACAACAGGAAGGACCATAACAGCAAAACAACGAAAACATTTTATAACTATTTCAAAAGAGACCAGGGGGGTGTTTAATAAGGAGATGCACAGGTAAATCTTTTTGCCTCTGCTATTGCTGTATGTCCTGTGCAGAGACAAACCCACTAATCATCAATCTTAAACAGTCACTGGTTAGCATTTCATTTAAATCCCATTGTGATCTACAGAATAAGGCAGTTTAGTGTTACGTGTGACATAAATATCATCTGTTATCTGTGATTTATATCCTCTATATTTTTCTTGTTAAAAATTAATCAGATGTTACTGGCTAAAATAATCATGCATATTTGAGTTTGATGTGCATTTAATAATGGATTAATTAATGACTTTCTTTTTTTATTTAATCTAGCCCAATAATTTACCCTGTTTTTTAAAATAAGGTTTAGGGTTTTCTATTAATTTTTAACAGCTGGACAGAAATTAGAAAGTCTGTTGTTTAAATATTTTACTGAGCAAAATGTTTCTCTTTTGTTTTGCTTTGATAAAGGAAAAAAAAGAATAAAAATCAACAAGTGGTATTGCCCAGCCCCTCTTTATCTGTCAGCTGTGATTTTGTAAGATACAGTCCAGGAAATTGGGACTTGAATTTTAGGAAATTTTGTCATCCCAATTAATCAAAGAAATATTGAAAAAATAAATTAAAATTGGCTTGAATATGTTTTTTAATTTTGCAGCCATGGTGTTTTACATCAATAAGTTTTTAAAAAAGCTGTGATTGGCTTACTTGGGAAAACAATATTAAGAAGTCTTGGGACTTAAAATAAATTTCAAAGCAGAAAAAGCTCTGAAATAATCATCCTATAAATAGATCAGCAAACTGTGACAGAGCTAAATGAAAAGCTAAATTGTAAAAGATAATTTATACTTATGTCCATACAAGTCAAGTGATTCACTTTTATAGCCATCTTGGTTGGCTTGAACGGCTTAGGGTTGCAAATAGAATAACACAGATTATATTAGATTAATATAAATGTAAATAAGCATAGAAGACAACAAAATAAAAGTGGGCTAAATAAATCAAATTAAATAAACCAAATATTTAAGTTTGCTCATTAATTACGTTGATTAGATGACCTATATAAAAGGCTTCACAGCTTTTTAGCCTGTTACTTCACTGTAAGTTGTCGCGCCTGCAGCCGAGTCTGAGGCTCAGTAATACAGATGAGGAGCAAAGTGAGGAGTGGTGTAATGGAGCGCTGTAAAGAGAGAGCAGCCGGCTGACGAATGGAGCCCACAGCCTCTTTCCGAGTGTCAGCGGGAGCTTCCAGGATGATAACCTCTGCTCTGCTCAGCTTCCAGCACCACACCGCAGTTTCTCCTGTGGTTTGAACTACACAGTGTTCTTACCTCACCCTTTATGTCCTCTCTTCCCATCCCTCCTCCTCCTCCTCTCTCTTATCGTCCCTCTCATTTCCAGCCAGACTCGGGGCTCGGACCTCTCCTGGTGGCTGGATACGAGGACGGTTCCCTGCTGCTGTGGGATGTAACCCAGAGGTCCGTACTGAGTCAAGCCAAAGCCCACCCTGAGCCTGTCATGTGTCTGACCTTTGACCTGAAGCGACTGAGGGGCATATCAGGCTCCTCTGAGAAGAACCTCTCCTCCTGGGTGCTGGACGGACAGAACAACCTGCAGGTTAGCGAAGCACAGGCGCGGAGAGGGTGGTGTCTGCAGCGCTGTGTAGTTTTGTGGTGTCCAAAACATTCAGTCTGAAAACCCCAACGGATGATTATTTGTCTCTTTACATCAACATCCTCATCAAGCACAGTTTATTTTCTTTGAAGCTGATTTATTTCAAGCTGCCTAATAAATACAACCAATGTGCAAGAGAGGGAAGGGACGCCCGTTCAGAGGGGGAAGCAGAGTTAGAAGAGCCGGGATAACTTTGATGCTAATTTTTCATCGGTTGTCCAGTAATTTATTTCTTACTTTTATATCATTTCGACATCCATAATTTAAGATTTTTTAGTGCTGCACTGTCCGTGTAATTGCAACTGAGTTTGTGTTGGAAGAATTTGCAATTATAAAGCAGAAAACTTCAAAAATAAATGTGCGCATAGTCATTTACATAGTAAAAAAGGATGCAGTGTCAGCTACATGGTAATGTGTTAGATTCAGGTAAGAAGTGCTGCGCAAAACTTGCAAAATTTAAGCCACATTTTTTAGCAAGCGGATCAGTGTTACAAGGCCAGTTAGCAGACGCTTTTATCCAAGTGAAGTACATTTGAGAACGAGAACAAAACAAGCAAAGATCTAGAGAAGAGGAAACAAGATCAGTAAGAGCCGCAAAGTGCTCCGAGTCCATGTGGATGCAGGTACAACCAAACGGTGTTTCAGGCAATGCACAAAGTGTGTAAAGGGATCAAGTTGTGTCAACACCCGAGAAGTACCACTGCGTCAGAGTGGAAGAATTTCGCTTAAACTGTCTTTGCAAAAACATCTTTTTTGAACAATAATTTAAAACTGAAACCCTAAAAATGCCACATTTCCTTTCACTGTGGAGATATGATTTAATTTAAGTAAGAGAAAAACTGTTGAATTATTTTTAAAACACTTCAGTTCAAAATATATTTACTTAACATTTGCATATTCAAATCTAGACATAAATATTCAAAACTCTCATCACTCCTTGGTTACCAATCAATAGACTCATCACTACATTAGCAGAAGATGGCAGTAGGTGCTGTTGGAAAGTACTTGCATGTATGCATTGGTACCTGCAGAGGCACGTCACTGATTATACGATGTGGTTGGAGAAGTATTATGACTTTTTTTGTGGACTGCAGAAGAGTCCCAGACTTAACCTGCCCGCTGACGAACTGTAGCACAACAGAGTCGCTAAAAGTCGTTAAATACAATAAAACGGTAATGGTGGGGATGGAAGGAGAGAAGTGTTGGCTTTCTCCAGACTCTCTCAGAAAACATCAGGGGCCAAAGAGGAAGAGGCTCAGCGGGGCTCCTGGGGCCATAAATCAGCTGCTGGTTACACAGCGTTGGCAGGGCCAGGGGCCAAGGGCTGGTCTGGGGCTGTCACTCCAGACTGAAAACCACCCACAGACAAACACTGACTCATAGTCACACATTAGGGCCTGGACAACAAACTGTAGATAGCTCTGAATTTACAAAAATAAGTAAGGACTTGAGGATGTGGTTTGACTTATAGACTAATAAATAGGAGAATGAATGAATGAATTTATTATTTACAACTTTAACAATGTTTTTATGATCTGCTCTACTCCTCCTGAGATGTTAACAGACCCTGAAAACACCGTGCACACACAGATGAACACTAGTTTATCCATTTTAACTCACACCAGAGTTTCTCCAGCCCCTAAAAAAGATCACATCAGCCTCACGGCATAATTCATTTTACATAACAGCCAATACATCAGAGACTTACCGCCTCATTTAAAGTCCTATTTTCCCTAGATTTCATGAGCTAAAGGGAATGCACACATTTTGGAGCAAACCCTCATGAATCAGAGCAGAAAGGAACGTAAGGCAGATATAGTACACTGCTGCTCACTCAAGGGGTATTATTCTTTCCGAGGCTCTTTACAAATGAATGCTTGAATTGGAAATATTTGCAACCCCCTTTTTTTTTCTCCCTAAAAATGCGTCTACAACAACACCAGCAAGGATTTGTTTCAATACACCAAAAACAGGAAAGAGTGAATATTGGGTTTATTTTTCTCAAGCTACAAAATATTGATTCAGCGTGTAATCCAGGATGAGCATGACAGGAAAAAAGCACAAGGAGATGGAAAAGATCCAACGGGGGCTTTTAAATTATCCCGAAGTGCAGCTCAGTGTGACGTCCAGACAGCTATCCTCAGTTCTTCCCACAAAAGTATTTTTGTGTGGCAGCAGTTAGGAGGCGGGAGGACCTGCAGGGTGGCAGACCCGGGCTCGGGGTCCTGACGGACGACCCGTGAGAGGTAATAAAAATATCAAAACCTCGGAGGCCCCTTAGCCAAACAAAAAACACATCTGCAGTAAAGGGAACAGTAGTTCACAGTGGGAGGCTGCAATAAAGGCTGAGGAGGCTATAAGTGCCACAGCATCCCACTTCCCACAAATTACCTCTGCGATAGAGTCCAGTGTTGTGGAACCGGCTGGCAAGGAAGATAGATGTGTTTTGTGAAATGCAGGGGAAACTGAATGTGACACAACACAGCGCAGTTATGATTTAGTGAAGCTGAAAGGCTGTGAAGTGAGCTTATCAAGGCCAGATAAAGACAGATAGCCTCAGGAATGAAGGTTAATGTCTTACACATGGCTCCCAGAGGCCTTTATCTGCTGTTTGACCTGGCTGGCCTGATACATTTTCATAGCAGAGAGGCATCATCTACGGCCTGTTTTTTCCTCCTTTTCCTGCTAGCGTACATTTTCAGGAATGTGTCAGGGTGAGACCGTGAGGGCGTGGGTGTTGGGGTTTACAAGCTGTTAAGCCAGATGGACATATATTTAGGCGGCCACTCAAATGTATTGACAAGTGCAGTGACGGGTTCCTCCAGGACGAAGACGGTGGTAGAAGTCGCCGACTGAAAAAAGAGAAAACAGGTAAAGACAGAAGAAGATTAGCAGTGTAAATCAAGCGTGGCTGACAGCGAGTTATTCCTGAGACTGATGACAGTTTCTACAGGTGGAGTTCCTGCGCCTCATCTCCACCACCATGTATCCGCACCATCACCTGCGTGATGTCTTCAGTGAACTCTGGCACTCATCAGCCGATCCTGATGTGACCTGACTGACAGGTCAGATCTGTCCAAGTCTGCCCTGCGACTGACTCATGCATGAGCTGCTGTCATAAAAAATTATAGCTCTCTTTTCTGAGCAGCCCCCACCCTCTCTTTTCTGAGCAGGGTCGCTCACCAGTTTGACACATCCATCTCCTGTCAGCCACAGTCGAGCTCTGACAGGCAAGGTGACAAAAGGCTGTAATCTCCCCCGCCGCGGTGTGTGATTCAGGGACAGGGTGTGTCAGAAATACCTGCGAAAAGCCTCCCAGCCGCTAGGCCCGAGTGAGTGAGCGATGATGGGACGTTTCAGTAGACAAGCGTGAACGCCAAGATCCGTGCCAAGACCAAGGAGAGAAACCAGGAAGGAAAGGGAAGCGAGGTTTGAGTGAAATCTGCCAAGACGTCGCTCTTTAGGAGTGTCTCCTCTGTTGGTGAGATGCTACAAAAGAGGATCTTAAAGTGTGAGTTTGTGTTGGATCTGTCGTAGGCTCCCAAAAGTTAGAGGACCCAGCTGCGAAGCAGAGCTGGTTGTTTCCTGACAGCTGAGAAAGCTGGCGTTCAGACAGCGGGCCTGCTGTGAGTGTGTGTGTGTCTGCAGGCTTCAACACAGGCAAGAAAAGAAGTATAAAGACAAAGAAATGATGAAGCCAGAAGATGAATTCTGTCCACGATCACATAGTGAGGCAGCGAGGGGAAGAAAAATGGAGTGTCAGCTGAAGGAAGCCAAGACTCTTTGGTTAAAGTTAATGGGTTTCATCACAGATTGAAACCTGGTTAATAGCTGTGCTGGAAGTTTTCCGTAGATTCAATCAGCCTTTGTTCAACTCTGCAGTGAAAAAAGAAGAAAAAAAAACATATAACAGATTTTCTTTTTTAAGAACAAAGAGAAGTTAGCCTGAAGTTCAAGAAAAATATTTTAGAGGCTGAAACTGGTTCTGTTTTTATTTATGAGTCTGAGTATTACTGGAAAGTGAAGCAGAAAAATTCTTTGTAATTATTCTTTTTTTTATTTTATTATTATTATTTTTTCCAGTTCAATACAAAGAGTAAGTCGTTCTTACATGTTGTAGTTTGATCAATATATTCTTAAGCTAATCTAGTTCTTAAATATTTAATTTATACCGAACTGAACTCTGGTCAAAGAGTTAAAAAAATATATCATTTTAAATTTAATGCATGCAACATGTTTTAAATGAGTTCTGACAGCGGCGTGTTCACTGCTGTGTTGGATCACCTCATCTCTTGACAACCCCTCAGAACCAAAGAGATCGTTTTCTGAGTGTAATAACATGTTATGCTGTGATTTCCAAAAAGAAATACTGAATAAGAATATTGTAAAAATAAACATAAAAACTTGATTCTCAGATCACAGGATATTAATTCTGTTTTCTGTTTCCACTACAGAGCCATGCTAGTTTTGTCGAAGCTCTCTCTAAATTCTCTAAAACTTTTAATAATATCATGAAGTATTGTTGATGAAAAACCTGAATACTTCGCAACTTGAAATAGGGAAAACTTTTCTGAAATCTGTTCTGCTTCCGCAGTCTTTCACAGAGTAGTGAACCTCCTTCCATCTCCCATCCCTCTTATAAATACCCTTTATTCATCTCTGACCTGTTGCAAATAAACCGCAATAGTTTGGAGACGTTCCCCAAAGTCATCTTTTTTTTTTTTTTTATCACTCATCTTTTTCAGTTTTTATTGTCCCTGCCCCAAACTTTTGAAACTTGTTGCTGGCATCAAATTTAAAATTTGAAAATTGGATTTTTTTCAGTTTGAACATTTGAAATCTCATCTTTGTACCATTTTCAGTTAAATATCTGATTTATATGATCTGCAAACCATCAAAATCTGTTTCTACCAATATTTAACTCATCGTCCAAACCTTTTTAGAAATAAGTTTGTGCTTAATTAATTAATTAGAAATGTGTTTTTTTATATATTTAGGAAATTGACAGATTAGTTTATAAGAAATTGAAAAACTGTAACAAGCTGTTGAAATTTTATTGACTGCAGGTTTGATGCCACCAGACTTATATTAAAAACACTCAACAGTTTAATGAACCTTCTGATTGAGAAATGTAATTAAAAATGGATGAAGATCTAAATTTGGGAAAATACTCCTCTGTTTATTTTTAACCGATAAACAAACTTCACCAATCTCATGATGTGTAAATCATGAACCGCCGAGGCCACATGAAATCACAGAGCAAACACTGATTACTTCCAGCTCAGTAACCAGCAGTATGAGCTCCATTAATTTTGAGTAACTTCCTCAGACAGACACTTTTCCTCTCTGTAGAAAGTGAAAACAATGAGCCGGTCACCCTAACTGAATGACCATTACTACATCATTAGCCGTTTACTGCTCACAACTGGCCCCTTAATGAAACAAATACCTTTTCCTGGCACAAACTATGGGAAGCAAAACAAACAAAAACAGACACTTAAACCCATCATTATCAGGCTGCTAATGCAAACCAGATGGAGAGAGGCAGGGGCATACCAACTTCTTGAGGTAATAACAAAGCTCCAAACAAGCTTTCACCCCCAGCGTTTCTTTGTATCAGTGTATTGGCTTGTTTGTTTTAACCAGCGCCACTCTTTCACATTGGTGACACCGCAGATGATGAGTTGCTAATCAAAAACACATCTTTTTTTTTTTCCTTTTCTCTTTGTTTTGATCAATGACATCCCTCCCCCTGCTCCCTCTCTGCCTTACATTCCACTTTATCCACTCGGGCCGTGAGTACCTGGCTTATATCTTCCACATGCAGCCCGTGGATGGTTCCTGCCCGGAACAGGAGCATGCAGATAAATTCTCCACCCTCTCCTCCCATCCAAAACCATTAGTCTCCCTGGACACAGCTCATGAAGTCAATTTTACGCCGTCTAGTTTGATTGTAGCCCCTATATCCAGATGTTTGTTTCCCATTTACAGGTCTTGCAGAGATCCCTGCACCGCAGGAAGAGCACGTTCGCTCCCCAGGAATGCCCTCACGCAGCAGGCCCTGCAGATAGTGATCTTAGCAGCCATTCATTATAATATGTCAGAATGTTGCCCCTTTAGAGAGATTGATGCAGTCCTTGGGACACTGTAGATCACAGGGAGAGTGAGCTGTGGCTAATCTTTAGCAGGCAGACGCTACAACAGCGTATTTATCGGGTCTCTTCTCCTGCTGACCAGACCTTTCAGTGTGAATGTAATTCATCAGAGGCGCTTAAAGCAACAAGGCCTCTGCAAACACATATTTCAGCGGGATGGTCTTGCAAACTGTGACAAAGGTAACTCCGGCCCAGGCGTGCTTCAAGTCTGGGCCCCCCTACCTCCAAACCAAATAGTGGGATGCAGAGAGATGTGCTAGCAGCCCGCGTGCCATAATGTTTTATGGCCGATGATTGAGTCCCAGGAGTCTTCAGCCAGGTTCAACAGACATCCAGCTTACACATGGACCTCAGTCATCAGATCAGCTGATAGTCTGACTGTCAGTGTTTGTCTTGGACTCACTTCCTTAGACAGCAGTGATTAATTGACTCGCTGGTCTAATTAGTTTGTCTGATTATTTTTGTCTCCTTATTTGCATGAAAAACATGTTTATTGGTTTGAGGTTTCTCCACGTTCCCACAAAAAACTGTTACTCAGTATACACGCCTCCTACCAGAAGACTTTGGCCAAGATCCTCTTCCTCTTTGTGTTTTTACAGCTCCAGGATAACGTGACACTGGTCAACCCCGGGATTTCCCAGCTGTGTATCAGGGGGGATGGTAAGCTCCTGGCGTCAGCGGGCTGGGACCATCGTGTGCGGGTGTTTGGGTGGAAGAGGCTTAAACCGCTGGCGGTGCTTCAGTACCACACTGACATGGTGCAAAGCGTGGCCTTCTCTGACCACCAGGACCCCCGACAAAGACTGCTGGCTGCTGGATCCAAGGACCAGAGGATCAGCCTGTGGTCTATCTACAACGAGGGAGCAGAGACAGGCTGAGACTCAGAGCTCTGCAAGGATTTATGAACTCAACACTCCCTAAACTCTCATTTGTACCTTTGCTAACTAATGTCCCTCAGCAGGTCAGAGTAATGTTTTAATACCTGCACATATGGACTGTGTATATTATCCTCTCAGAAGAGGATATATAGTGAAGCTGAATGAGAATTCATTTATGCGAGCCGACTCCTACGCTGTGTCAGCAGAGACGTTTTTGTTTGGGAAAAGCTTAAAGATGAGCTCAGGATTTGGGATCTCTGGACTTACAGACTCCAATAAATGAAGCAGACTGAAAAACAGAAAGCTAAATTATAAATACATTCAATTAAGACGGACATTTAAATCGTTAATTGTGGTTAAGAGAACGATAACAGCTGAAATTTGTTTTGAAGAGACCTGTTTGCAATAACTTAATGAAATAAATCACAGTTAATTCCAATCTAAGTCTAGAGTATTATCTACAAATGGGGTTTTTATTTTTATTTTTTCCATAAGAGAAAAGCTTTGATGCTGTTTTCACTGTGAGAATCTGGAAAATTGAGTCATTTGAGACCAAACAAGAACAAAACCTCTCTTAGTTTTTTTCTGTGTCTCACATCTCTACTTCCTGCGTGTATTTAACATAAACAAAAGCACACTCCAGAGAGACTGAGATTAGCACACCTACCGACTGATTCCAGACACGCTTGATTGAGTCAAGGAAATGATTTATTTGTACAGATACATTAAATAAACATTAGAACCAATTAGATGGCAATAATTACATCTTATTATATCTCTTTTGAGGAGTTTGACTTCTGTGAAAAAGATGGAAATTTCCTTTGATGCCCTTTTGAGACAAAGGAAACCATCAGCAACACAAATTTTTAAGGCCTGAAACCAGAACGAGGGCAGAAGACAGGAATCAGGAGACAGTACTATCATGTAGGTGAAAACTGCCCAGAATTCAAAGTAACTAAAAGTTTCTCACAGGACAATGACTGTAATGATGTGTCTGTTTTATCAGATACGTCCTGAAAAGTTTAAGGCTTCTTAAACTTTCTTTGACTCAGGAAAGTGTACCTAAAGACAACCTGTGTGGACCGAGATTAGCAGGAGTTTGTCAGCCACTGAAAGCTTCGATTTCAACTGCAAGACTTTAACAATCAGGATGCAAAGCCTTTGAGTATGAAGATATCCATAAAATGAAAGTTCAAACCGTATTTTTTTTAATTGCTAAGATCTGTGAATGTCTGTGAGAGGCAGATACACAAACACAGTCTCACCTAACAGTCTGAATATCTTCTTATTGACTGTTCATCCTGCTATTTACCGAGGCCTTTGTGACGCTCTCTGCAGCAGTGTGATTGTGTTGACTCATCTGAAGGGAGATTTGCTCCACTGGATTTGAATTTGAGGTCTACGGTGCACCTGAGCTGCTCCGTAATCTCGTGTTGTTATTCTAGCAGGTCTTAGCCTAACACACACACCGCCCTGCAGCCTGACCTGTGTTTGTCAAACACACTTAATCACAGCAAGGACATAAAGAACAGAAATGCTGGCTTAGTGGAGGAGCAGATGCTCATGTTGGCCGAGGTAAGGAGCTATAAAATGTCTGTGTGAGTCAAAACAAGCGGAGTAATTTAAAGTTTTTAAACTCAGAGAAATTGCAAGCATTTTATATTTACCCCACATCCAACCCAGCACAGGTTTCTTTTTAAGGACCTTGTTTTGAACATCCCAGAGAAAATATCGAGGTGTTTTTTCTTTCCAACATCTCTAATAATATCTGTGTGAGTCAATGAGCAGCATGGGAGCTCGTGTGTTTCAGGGGGCTGGAGGCCGGGGCTTCAAACGCTTCATGTTCTGCTTCATAAAAGCTTTGTCTCCTGGGATGACCCTAAGTTGAGGAGCTCATCATGCTGTACAGGAAAAGCCTGAGAAATCAAAGAGGCAGACGGCTCGCACGATGGCTACGAATCATTAGTGAACAGAGGAAAGACGGGGTCAGTGGCTAGACAAGCTTCCTTGCTGTGAGGCTGCTGGTTTGAAAAATGTGTCGCCTGCAGATTTGGGAAGTTTTCTTGCTTGTTCACTATCTAAAAATGAAAAACATAAAACACCCTATTTTCTGCAGGATTTTTTTTTTAAGTTTCTGCTCTTGATTTGATGTTTTCCTTGTTCCCTGCAGAGCTCCATCCATACCTTTTGTCCCTGACCCCACTGCTGACATGTTGCATTCATGACAGCTTCCTAACTCTGCTGTTGGCTTTGAACAAACACCAGAGGTGGCGTGGGCCAGCTTCCGTCCGTTCTCTGATAAATCAAATGCCGGGTCCACTGGTGCAGATGTGTGCTGAATGGAGCAGACTGGTGCAGAGGCTGTGGACCTCATAAATCACTTCATAATGGATCATTTAGGAAGTCAATAAATCGACAGGGAGACCGTCTGCACAATAGAGCCTGTGCTTCACTTATCACCTAACGTGTGTCTTTCTTGGCCTTAGAGGTCAGAGGTCAGTCTGGCTTTGGGATGGGACATAATCTGTTAGTTTTTTTTTTTGTTGATGCTGACACTTGCTAAGCTTTTAGGTTAGAGATGCCACACCAAGCCTGAGAGAAATATTGAATCCTATCCTACCTTTACAGGCCAAAACCAACATTTTGCCTCATGGTAAAGTTGGTTTTATTTATTTCCTTAAATGTGAATCAATACAAATGTACAGAGAGGTTTCCCCAGTGTTGATGATGTGTTATGATGTTCCACATAAAACGTCCGTCAGCAGCCTCAAGCACCGTGAACTGTTGCACTCTTATTATTAGCTGCGAAACCATGCGGGGAAATATGAAACATGTGTTTTGCTGTTTAGGTGGACGACTCCGGTTAGTTTACCTGGACTGTTATTAAATAACTTTCTCCAGATACAGCATGCAGGAGACGCTCAGCTGCCGAACTGTTCACAGAGGTGAAGGGAACGAATCGAGACCCCGATCGGCCCGTCACAGCAGATGTTCCAGATGCAGCTGAGTGTCAAATGAAGCCTCGGGTCCCAATAATCATCCATCCTCTACCTCTTCATACTTCAATGACAAGTCCTTGGCACTGTATCTCTGGAGCTTGAGACATCTGGGCACATCAGGTATTATGCAGTAAAGCAAAGGTATTATACAATATGGTTGCTCTTTTTACTCAAACATTTAAATAACTTGCATAATAATGATCTTGGAGACTATGTAGGTCATGTGCACAAGTACAATGTGGAAGATACTTTCCAAATAAGCACCATTATAACTTCACCGGTGAGTTTTTAGGTGTAATGCATTTAAATTCCTCCAGTAGGCGCACTTTCTCTGATTTGCCAACCTGAAAAATCACTTCATATTCAGTGTGTGTGAACTTTGATTATCTGCTATCAAAGCCAGTACCTTAAATTGTGATAGATTCAGTATTTAGATCTTAATTTGGTAAAACTGAGCATCAAAATATAATGATAAACATACAAAATAAAGAGTAAAATAACTAGTATCATGTTACATGCAGGGCTGTAAAATGAGGGCAGCCTTGGGTGTCAATGTCAAGTCCTTTCAGTCTGGTGTGCTGTACTTTGCAGCGCACAGTGTGAAAACTTTCATCGCTAGAGATTGTTTTGCACAAAATTTCACAATTAATTTGTGCAGAATTGGACCAATTTATGTCTTACAGTTCACAGACATTGTCCAAATTTTAGGCTACTTATGATATGCGTTTATATTTTTAATAATTTAAGGCATTTTTTAAAAGTACTACAGTCAGGTCCTGAATAAGGGAGGTATTTACTCATAAACTGACTCTTTCATTTTCCCACAGGCTACAGCCAATATTTACCAAAGTAGAACTATTAATTGTAGTGTAGGCTGCATCATGTCTTTAAACTGGTTTATATTGCAGCATTTCTTGTATAAAGTCAGTCATCTCAATAATACCTCCACCCCTACTTCCTTGTAAACTCGCGTTACTGTATATAATAAACTTTTTACTATAGTAGAGATTACCTGTTTTTCAAGTTGGTCACGTTTAAAGAGGATCCTTATGGTGGATTTTAAGTGTTTAACAGGACATCTAGATGGTTTTAGACCTGGTGAATTTTCTTTTTGAAAATAACATGACCTTTAAATATTCTTAAACTGTAAAAAACGGAAATCTTAAGCAGTCATTCTTCCTTTTTGGTTGTTATTTTGAAGATTACAACTGGGCAGCTCAGTTTCTATGGTCAAATTATCTTGAATATAGATGACGGCCTGAATTTGTAGTCTCATAGTTGCTTCTTCTTCTGTTTTGTGAAACCCATAATTAGTCCCAGTTTCACCTTTCGACCCCTTTTTACCCCGCGTGCCACTCCTACCAAACCCCCCACGAGCCCCGGGGATTAACTCGGTGTCCTCTCGCGGGCTCTCTGCGGCTCCTCGGCACCTGCAGGCCGGCGTCCGTCCACACCAGGCGGCTTCCTGAGCAGACGACGCCGGAATTCAAAAATAGGTTGTTTAACGAGTTAAAAAATAGGCTAATTCGTGTTTTTGTTGTGTGACCATGACCATTATCTACAAGGCGCGTGGCAAATATATGAAAGGGGCAATTAAAATAGAGCAAATGTAATTAGCAAATGTGATAAATCCAGCTAATTTTAATGGAAACCCAGAGGTGCAAACTGGTGAAATTAGCAATCTCTACCAAACATAACCTGTTTGCTAAGGGGTAGGGAAGCTATTATAATCTTTAAATCGTGCTTAAATTAATTATTGAGACACACTGGCTGTCAAATATAGTTTCATTTCAAAGTAAACAGCTTTAAACACAACAAAAACGATACAGCTAATTAGCCGGCCGTTTAAATGAGTGGAAACATTATTTAACCTTTGACACCTTTACAAGCCATTAAACAGTCAGAGGTCACCCACCCTCAGGCATCCTTTTTCCCCTCCTCTCTGTTCAGTGGCAGCGGGGTTCAGGGAGAAAAATACAATATTAACATGAATCATGAGGGTGAGTTTCCTTTTGGTGCAGCGACAGGGAAAAATCCCAAAACAGGAGTTATTTTTTTAAAGAGATTAACCTTGACAACAAAGCATTCCTCATAGGACTTCAAACAGAGGATGGAAACGGCTGCACAGATATAGGAAAGAGTGACATCCTTGAAATATCCAGCAGCCCCATCAATAATAAGCAAAGAGGAAATGAAATTGTTGTGTTTTTTCCAGTTTGTTTGACATGACAGGATGGGAGAAAATTTTATAAAACATAAAATCAAAATAATGTTTGTATAATTTTGTAGCCTATTGTTTTTATTTGATAAAACAGAGTATAAAATATTTTAAACTACAATAAAATTAGCAGGTATTTACATCAAACTATTTTACATAAAAACCCTTTAATGCCATGGCCAGAAAATTCACATTTTTTAGAGCTTATTTCACTTTCTACTGAAAACCGAAAAAATCAAAATGTCCTTAAAATCTAACAAATATGTTTATTTATCTTGTTTGATACTTAGATGTTTTTGGAAACTGATAAACTACAAGAGGACATTTTGATCATTTAGGTGGGTTTTTTTTTAGTAATTTGTTCAAATATGATACAAAAGGCATTAAAGGGATAAGTACAAAATCTGTCATGTTTTTTGCACTTATGGGTTTAAATAAAATACTTTTACTGCTCCAGATTTTATTTAATGGGAGCATATTCAGTTTTGTGGCGCCTTTACTGTGCTGTATTCTTTAAACTTAGAGAAAAGTGTGTGTGAAAGAAGGAAGTATGTCTGATGAGGGCGTTTGTGCCAGTGCGTGTGTTTTTTTCACAGAGCCAGGTGCAGATTTCAACATTTGAACTACAGTGCAGTGTAATGTTTAGACAACCTCTGAATCCTGGCTGCAGGAGCAGCAGACACCTCAACCCAATTCAACAAGGCAAATCCGGCTGGAGCACCCTGAACAATGCTATCAGTGAGGTAAGCTGTTTCTTAAGCCCTCCCCCCCCTCCAGCAGTGCAGCGGCACGCACAGCTTTGAATGGAAGACCTGCTCACGGATGGCTTTTTTATGAATTACAAGAATTTAATGTTTATTTTACAGATACAGAACAGTCAGTCTGCTTCATTTATTTACTTTGAATTGCTGCAAGTCAGTGCCATGGTACAAGCTTCTCAGAGCGGCTCATGTTGTTTCAAAATCAAACCTTGTATTTTTTTTTTTTCCCTCAAACAAAAACATTTGGATGTGTTTCGACACCCTCTCTGATGAGCTCAACATGCAAACATCTCGTCTACCTAGAAGGTTGATGGACTATATAACATATGGCTTTTTTGAAAGCATTAAAAACAAGGCAAATCAAAAAGTGCATTCAACACAAAAAAAGAATTCAATTCCAGTCTGTGAGCAAAGATTAAGTCCGTCCCTCCTCTCTTCTCTGTTAACTGGCTCAATGTCCGCACTGCTCAGGTACGGGAAATCCTGGCGTGAAGCTTTTGCCATTTGGGTTCAAAGGTCAAACAGACCTCGTTGGGACTCAGAGCAGGTGGCCGAGCTTAATGCAGAGATTTCCTTTAAATAAATATGGCAGGGTTTATCCAGCAAAAAGGAGTCTCAGCCTGCTGAATGCATCCCGCATGTTGCATAAGCCACCCATACTGACAGGAGTATGTCTTCTCTGCCCGTTTCCATTTCCCAGAGTGCTGTGCGCCGTTAGCCCCGGTCAAGAGCCGTCATTATCTGGGCCCATAGTCATAGTTAGAAGGGCCACTGGTGGCTGAGTACATGTTAGCTGTGGCGGGGTTCATGTGGTGGTGATACGTGTGTCCTCTGATACTGGGTAAAGGATAGGGTGACGGCCTGGTCTTGGCTCCCAGGTAATGTTCATAGGTGGTGGGGTACTTGTAAGGGTGGTGGTGCAGGGTGTCCGGGGGTAGAGCGTGGGGGTCCGAACGAAGGTCGTGAGGAGGGCTGGGTCTGCCGCTGGTGAGCGGGACGGCGTGGAGGCCTCCTGGGACGGGCAAGGCGGGGCTGAGGACCCGGGACATCAGCTGGTGAGCCGGGTCGGCGTGTATGGGCGTGCCGCTGGGGTCTCGCTCGTACTCCCGCCTGCTGTCCTCTGTGAAGGCAGACATGAGAGCGATCAGGATGGGTGGACGTTTATTTATCAGCAGGTTGGAAATAGTTTTCCAAATGTGGGCACATTTTCACCTCTACATTTTAAAATACAACTAAAATAAACATTCAAGTATAACAGCCTTTTTTTTAACTTTCCCAGTGACAGAAGGACAAGACTGTGACTGTTTTTAATGTGTAATAATAGAAAATAATAGAATAATTTGTTCTTGACATAGGTTAGAATCAGAGTCAGAAATATTTAATCTATCCAGGATGTAAATTCATGAAAACACAGAAAAATGTCCTATTAGTAATTAGGGTTGCTATGGTTACAATGTAAGAGTGTGGATGAATTTTAATTTAATTTAATTCAATATAATTTAATTTAACTCTTTATTGCGTTATGTATCAAATTTAATACATATACTTTTATATACTTCTATCAAATTAACATGATCAACAAATTACTAAAAACACCTGAATACACAGTCCAATAAATGATAAAAATGTCCTCTTGTAGTTTATTAGTTTCCAAAAACATCTAATGTATTAAACAAGATAAATAAAAATATTTGTTAAATTTTAAGGAAATTTTGATTTTTTTTTAAGTTTTCAGTAGTAAGTGAAATAAAAAATTCAGCTTCAAAGAAAATTTAATTTTCTGGCCATAATTTGTGGTTTCAGGCATTAAAGGGTTAATTTTCCCTTTTCAAGTATAAAACCTGTAAACAACATGCTGTTATTGAATATATGCATGTTCTACATTACGCTGTTTTTAAATGAAAATGTTAAAAAAAAAAAAAACAGATGATGTCTCACAGAAGTATGAGGGTCACGCAGGACAAAACTTTCATCTATTTGTTTTTTTAAATAAATTATGAATGAGTCATTTTTTGTTTCCCTTTCACAAAATTAAATCTCCACCACAGGATGTTACACAAATCCTCATCAGAATACTGTGAATCAAAAGTCTGACGCTCTTAATTTCTTTGGTTATAACCGTCAGACCCCCTCACTTTACTTTTGCCTCTATACGTTAGAGTGAAACTTACGTCTGCTCCCATTTTTAACAGGATGGAAACAAGCTTGTGCAATTACCTTCTAACTGCAGCGTGCCTCAGTGACAGAAACAAAACTGATGAGCATGCAAAATTTTGCTGGAGGCCAATTTTTGTTAATCATGACTTTCAGTGTGGTGGTCCCCTGTCATATACAGGTGTGTTTTTTTACCTGTTCGCCCCTCAAACAGCACCGCTTAGTACACCACTTATTTTTATTTATAAAAACAGTAAGTAAATCTCTAAAAAGCTTTCAATGAACCTGAATAAAAATCAAATATGAATTATCTCTAGCCAAAAAATGATGCATTACAATTGTTTACATTTGTGATAATGATAAAAATATTTGTGCTGAGTGATAATTTTTAAAATCCAGCTGAAACTAAAGGAGTTTGTAATCATCCAAAGGTTTTTACCGTAGTGATTTAAATACCGAACAAAATCACAAAACTGTACAATGTTAATGCTGTATGTTAGCACAGGGACTGTAGATAACATTGATTAGCTGTTATTTGAGGTTTAAGCAAAATTCAGGTCAATAAGGTTAAGTTATGGAAACAAAATTACTGCTAGCTGGAATAAAATGCTGAATGTGTTAAGGCGATAAAGCTGTGTTGTTTGATCAGTGGCAAGAGTTGTAAAATGAAACAAAGAGCAAGCCGCCGACCTTTTTCTGAGCCGTTCTGCTGCGGAGGAGATGACATTGGGTTTCTTGTTCTGGCAAAGGCACTCATTATTGGCAGAGAGCCTGGCCTGTGATTCCTGGGCCTGGAACATGGGAATGGATTCAGTTACATTCTCGTTTAATGAACGTCAAGGGCACAATTTCTTTATTATGTATAAAAATGATGAATGCACTTTTAAGAGTTTACACCGATGCATGTAATGAGCATTTACACATTGACAGGCCCCAATTTACCAAAGATGAAATGTGCAGCAGGCTATTACATGACTCAGATTGTCCTGTTCTATATAAGAATCCAACCCTTCACATAATCACTTAAGTTAATGCTTTAAAGAAAGACGGAGAGAATCCACAGAGCTAGATAAACAGCAGTTACAATCAGTCTTTGCATTGCTTTACACCGCCTGAGTGAACCAGATGGGTGGCCTTCCCTAAACAGTGACACACACGAGTGTGTTTGGTAATTCTTCAATGACAGAAATGCTCAGTCGACTGACTTTCAAACAATATCCAGTGATTTCTAAACTTCATGCCACTCTTTGTTCTCTCTCTATTTTTTTTTCAAGTTTTAAACCCCACCCATCTGGCACCTGTGTGAGATAAAACAAACAGCAAAACTATTTTACAAATTCATCTTAATATTTTTAGACTGTGTGGACACCTGCCAACAAAGACCGTGCTGTTAAAATACAAACACTCACCAGTCCTCCGGGTCACAGTCCCTGAAGCCTTTTGCAAATGGGTTGCTGGCTATCTTCAGCTGTGTGATCTGAAACCAAGAGTTTGACACAAAATGAACATCAGTGCTGAATGAAGCAGTCCTGAACAGTATTATTTACATCTGTATATTAGAAGTGTCTGTGTATAACTGTTTTAGAAAAGTATTTTACGATCAGTATTTTTTTTCCAGGGGCTGCAGGATCATGTACAATATTTGTTTTACCCTAAAATATAATTACATTTTGATAACTGACAGTAAATGCAGTCTTTACTCTCGCTTGTGACTTTTGTGCAACATTTAAAGCTCTGCAAAATATCTTATATGTAATTCAGCTTTGTAGATTCTAGACTCTGCTTATTCTTCCTCATCATATATTTACCAAAACTTTGGGAAGCTCCCATTCATCATCCTCATTTTACTGCGTTTTAATCCAGGGTTCACAATCGTCTCTGTCTCTGTTTTCAAGCTTTAAAATTAGATTAATTTTGCAGGCACTTTACATTTCCTAAATTAAGTGTTAAAATAATTTCCACTTCAGTAAATCTGAGACATTTTTACCTATTATGGAACAGAGTTATATAATCTTCGAGCCGGATCACTCACGGCAATATTAGCATCACAATTACGCACCGACTCACTTCATTTTTCTTTGCCGGCAGGTACAGAATTGCATGTGATATTTCGCTCGTTATGAATAATGGGTGGATACACTGATGTGTCAATGTAAACAGACGCTGTAGCTGAAGGAAAACAGAGCAGGGACGAAGCAGGGAAAGGGGCACCGGTATGCGTAAAGAGCAAAGGAACCATTTACGCACCAAATCGAGACATTTACGCACAAAAAAAGGAGACGTTTACGCACAAAAAGATAATTAACTCAAAATAACTAAATAAAATTAGTGTAATGCTATAAAAAATAATTCAAATACATTCTCAGTCTTCATTTACTGATTGATAGTGCGTTGATGGAAACCCAGTTTAACATCTACAGTATCTTGTGGTATCATTTTTCCCATGATTTCCCCTCACTGTACCCATGACTTTTAAATAAACAGTGTTCGTATAAATGGCTTGAGAATTAGGTCACATCCAGCTGCAGTTAGTTTCACATAACGTCCATAATGGACACACTGTGATAAAGGCTTCTTACCCGGTGGTTCTGGTAAGCTGTGACTGCTGTGAAACGGGTTTCCTCGAAAACAAAGGTTTTATAATTCTCCTCGGCGTATTTCTCGCTGTCCTTGCGGGGGTCCACATAAACCACGTGAAACCTGGGCTGGTAGCGGTGCATGGAGTTCAGAATGATCTGTGAAAAACAAGGGAGTCATCAGCAAGAATCCAATACACCATCCCGAGTTTTAACTTTCTTGTAAGGCTGTGATCATAAAGACAGAGCTATTGCAGAATAAATGGCGACTGGTGTAAAGAGAAAAACACAGCAAAGATTATTGCGTAAAAACAAGTCGTATTTTATTATTCTAAACCATTCATTCTCCGTGTGATGTGATAAATACAGAAATGACCTCATGAAGAGATATTTACAACTGTTGAATTATTATAAATCCTAAGAGGCCACGTGACAATCTGACCATGGAGAGAAATACACGCATCCAACAGTCGTGAGTATATTTCATTATATGCTTAAATATTCCATCATCACTCGTTTTCTTTCCGTTTTCACAACCAGGGCAGTGACACGAAGAAACACACAGGCACACAGAGAGAGAGAGAGATCAGACTTGAACTGGCTGAGATAATTTCCAGTGGTGAAATATTCCACCTCCCTGCCGCCGTTTTTGGACTCAAACTCGCTGTGCAGCGCCATTTTTGTGGACTGAAAGTTAAGCTTTAAGAAAAACCTCTGGTCATGTTTTAAAATGAGAAGGTGAATTACGCTGAATCCCTTCAATCAGTTTGTTTGAGGAGGAATTAAGACGCCAAACATCTGCGTAAAGTTTGTAATCTTTATGTGGGGATTTAATTTGGAGAAGACACGAGTACGGATGAGGATTGAGACACAAGATTTATACATTTTTAGCTTTAAAAGTTTCGATCAAGCGTGCAAAATACTGCAATGGATTAGGGACAGTTGAACAGCTGGCTTTACGCACACTGCCTTTTGGTTTTATTTCTCATTCAGAGTTTTTATTTTATTTTTTCTCTCCTCTTCTTTTCCTTTATTTTTCAGTCTCAGTTCACTCACATGGCCGTTGTCATCCAGCAGGTTGTTGGTGAGTTTGAGTTTATCAAAGGAGACGATCTGTTTCATCCACTGCGCGCCTTTAGCCGGAGAGTCCGGGTGGTAGTGCACCCTGCCCGGTGTGGCGGGGTCCGCCTTGCCGGCAACGAGCCACGAGGAGCTGTGGAAAGCATACCTGCAAAAGAAGAGAATAAGTGGATTAGTTAGACACCAAGTTCTGACTGTCCAACACCAAACTAAATTCCCGTTCACTTTTACGCATGAATGGGGAAACACATTAAGGCTTTAAAGAACCAAAATCAGGGAAATACAAACTAGAATTGTTCCAAACGAGAAAAACTGCGCATAGAATTAAGTCTTTTTTTGGTCTTTTTTTTCGATCCTCCCGTAGAGACAGACAACAGTTTCACGTGTGTTTCTGTTTTCTAAGGATCTCCAAAATGTACCTGTAACGTTTGTCGTCTACAGGCAAGAAGTCCATCAGGAGCATGTAGTCCGACATGGGATCCATCCCAAATATTTTCACTTGGAAAGTTGGAAACATTCTCCTAGAAAAGAGAAAAAAAACATAGAAACACGAGACTGTTAAATCTGGGCTTGGAATTGCTGCTTTTGTTGCTCGCAGGGAGCACTTTGACTTTGTTTGTGCCTCTATCTAGACTGGATTATCCGCGCGTTTGGAAGGTGCTGCTGAGGTGTCCATTTGCCCGAGGAGCGTATTTGCAGAGACGAAGGCCTACAGAGGTTTATTCGACGAAGACAGAAGCCTGAAATCGTTGGAGAAGACGTGATCCAGTCCGTGTGTGTCCGTGATAAAACTCAACCGGATGCGAAGAAACTTTTGGGTTTGTTGTTTTTTTCGCTCTACTTTCTTTTTGTTGCGCAAAAAGGCCAAAACACACATCTATGATGTGAAATATGAACTCTTTTGTGCATTATTTGGCTCGAACATGCGGTACAAGTCAACAGAGAATTCATTTTTTAAAAATCATTTATCACAATCAGGACCTAAATGGAAAAAAACAATAAAGAGAAACAAGACTGGAGCATTTTAATCGATTATTCGTGACTTTCATATATTTATCATCAGTAATCGAGCTGCTTCAGGAAGTCTTCAGCTCGGCCTTGGCCCTCACGCTCAAATTTTTACTTTTCTCCCCCAATTTCACGCTGCTCACTATTCAAGCAAGATCCATATCCTCCAAGAACATCAGCTGAAAGCTGAGTAATCCGCCGAGTCAGTGAAAGGGAGCCTAAAATCAACGCTCAATTAACGTCAGTGTTGTGGCTAGGTGAGGCTGAAGGAGCTTTTAAAGTGCTCTGCTGCAGATCTCCTTTCTCCTGTCAGACAGCAGAGCGGGGAAACTCAACCCTCACTCTCAGGATTAGATCAATTATCTCATGCCTCTTTTTATTACTGCTACGCTGAAAAACGCAGGACTGATCTTGGAGAGCCTTAAAAGCGCGCCGCATTTTTCTAGTTGAGAATATCAGTTTGTGGAACATTTGTGTGGCATTTTATTGGCTCTCCAAGAAGGTCAGAGGTCAGAAGAAAGAATTTCCTTGTGCCTTTAGATACAAACAAAATACGGCATAAAAATTTCAGCGAACTAATCTTTTCGTTTCTCTTAAATTTGGGGATAAAAATGTTAAAATTTGTCTTAAAACGCTCCTTTTCTCTCTCTAATTATTAATAAATCAGACCCAGATTTGGGTATATGCAGCTTATGTAACCACAGAGGATTTTTATAGACTGTGGAGAAAAGGGAGGGAGGCAGACAGACACTCCTATACCGAGGAAATAAGGAAAAAGTAAACACATGTCGAGGCCTGAAGTGAAACAAAACTGCACGAGTGTAATCGGGTCGTGTCGGAGTTAATCGTCGTAAAAATCAACTAAAGACTCACTGAGAAAAACGGGCCGTAAATTCTGCACAACAGCGGCGCGTAAAAGTGACACTGACGGAGAAAACCAGCCGAGGGCCAGTGGTGGATCTATAAAACGCAGCAGTGGTGTTTACACACACACGTACACACACACATCCAGAGTCTTTAAAACCCTCTCCTGGTGTGTTGGCCTGCCACCTGATAACAGCTCAGAAATATGTATTTTATGCAGCCAAATAATGACACTTTAAATTTCTACATTGGTTTGGATTGTAAATATAAATGTATGACTTTTACTGTTAGGTACACTGGAGTTTTACGAGTTTGGATTCAAAAGCATGTTATTAAAAAATGACAAAAACATTTTGAAATATTAAAAAATGAAAAGTAGAAAAAGTTTGATCACTGTGAACTCAAGTTGTAAAAAAATAGTTTTTTATTCTAAATAATTGAGTCCTTTTGGATTTGATGTTTTTGTGATATATTAATAAACTAAAAGATTTTTTTTAAAATTAAATCCATAATTATCCTTAAATCTTTACGCTCAGGTAAGAGGAAACGCAGAGATAATTCTTTGTATTTTACGCATTTTTTAATTTTGGGGTTCTTCCTCTATCGAACGGTGTTGATGAGTTCCTACAAACCCAGTGTTTTCTTGTGTTGTTGTTGTTGTATTTGTGTGTATGAGAAGTCGAAGTGTCAGTGTGGCCTGTGGAGAGACTCGCTGCTCACCTGCCAGCCTTCGTAACGATCATCTCCGTCCCCAGCTGGTTAAACTCGTCCCACAGAGCCTTCATCTCCAGCTGCACGTTAATGTTGGCCACTTTGGGGTTCTTCTTCACGATCGTTTTGCTGTTCGGTGTGGAGTTGGACGAAGACGAGGAGCAGTTGGGAGTCCCGTTGTCGCTCGGTGGGGCCTGGCCCGGGTTAGACCCCGGGTAGTTGTAGTTATGTTGGGCGGCCGGACAGGGCTCGAAGTGGGACTCATGTTGGCTGTAGGGGTCCCCGGGGGACGGTGAAAGGTGGTAGCCCCCCGGCGTGTTGAGGCTGCTCAGGCTGCTCGTCGTGAAGGCTGCAACATCGCAAAAATGGGACAGCTGCGTCAGCCACGGGCTGGATATGGCTGAAATCATCCCAAAAAACTGGATTTACTAAATATGCCTTGCACTGAGGGTTGGTTAAAACACAGATGGTAAATTCAGAAGCAGGTATCAAGCGATTTCCAAATGAAGGTGCCACACGCGAGGGCAACCCTTTCGACTTCGCAAGTTTCCGTCTCGCCTGCTCGTTAATCCCTCAAGTTGCATCCGCCGCCAGCAAACTACCAACTACCGAGAGAAAAGAAGAAAGCGTCCGAAAAGCGGCCAAATGTGTCCAAAAGCTGCAGCACTCGCGGAGTATCTCTGAACTAGTCGCAGAAACGATCTTCCAGTGCGTGTGTAAGTGAGTTTTTGCTGCTCTGAGCTCTGCACGGCCTCTGTCTGTGGAGCGCTGCTGCAGTGTGTTACACTGCAACCCTGCCTCGTCTCTTATCTGACGCAGAGGGCCTCCCCTTTGCGATAAAACCGGTTCTTATTTCTATTTAGATAAGGAACTGCAGGTAATGTGCCTTTTCCTCGCCTTGGGACGAGACTGATTGACAGAGAAGTGCGCCCCTTTTAATGGGCTTTCCGGCACCCATTTAACTTTGGGATAAGGGTATCGCCCACATCACCCCCGTTAGCAAACAATAGAGGATCTGCTCATCCGATCGGAGTGTAAACGGTTTACAAGGTAAACACACATCGATTTGCATGAACAAACAAACAGACAGCAGGTGACTGTTGCTTTCGCCTTATTGGACTGAGAGGTCTCTGGAATGGATCTACACCTCCCTCTGAGCTGGAAATGCGCATTATGGTCTGTTTTTACCATTACGCACAGGGTGCCCGTGTAAACCCTCCTCCTCCTGGCTTCATGTTCAATCTCTGTGACCCTTTACGAATTAAAGTTGACTCTTGGTGCTGCGCTTTGGGGCTTTTGGAAAAGGGAAACTTTTTTTTGCACTCTGACTGCTTTGTGTGCGCACTTCTCCATACCTGAGTCATTGTCAGGGCTTCATTTGCATAATTTTATTGCCTGGAGTTGTTGACGGTAGTTTTAGTCGTGCATTCAAAACAGCGCACTGTTAGTTTTGCGCTTGGATTATAACTGTGCGTTTTGGCAAGGTCGATTAACCGAGTAGACGCGAGGGTGTTACGTAATACTGGGTGAGATGTATACATGCTTCATCAGCTCTGCGGGCATCAAAAAACAGATTTACCTTCCATTTCCCGGGTGACAGTGCTGTAGTGCATTTTAAAGGAACTGTGGTAGTGCAGGTCTGGCTTGTCCAGGCCGGTGCTCTGTTTGTCAAACGCTGCGTTTCCTGCTTGTTCTGCAGCCGAAATCAGAGAGGCAATACTGAAAGCATTTGCCTTTGGAGAGAGGGGACCGCCGTCGTCCATAGGCAAGAGATCGAGTCGGGAAAAGCCGTCCCTCCCCCTCCTCCTCCCCCGCTTTCCAACCGCACAGAAAGCAGGAGAAGGCTGCTCACAATGGAGAAGAACATGCGCCAAAATGGGGTTTTCACATTCCGCCCACGGAGCTCCGTGTGTGCGAGAGTTTGGAGTGGACTGTTCTCAAAGTATTCCCACTGCTATTTTGAAGGCAAGAAAAAGCTCCCCGGCGCACAGAATCATCTGATGAACTTCTAAACACGTCCTGGTGTCAAAACAGAGTTCATCCGCAGAGAAAAGAGAGAGAGAGCGCTTCCCTTGTTTCTCCTCCGGTCGGTGGCGGGGTGGTGTCATCTGAGTCCTGCCTTGAGGAGAAGCTACTACAGCAACGAGAATGTCAAAAGTGAGCAAGATCCACGCCTCCCCCTGCACCACCAGGAAAAAAGTGTCTGCGCTCTGCACTGGATGTTTTATTTCAATAAGACCGTGTCAGTCATTTGAATTCAACTCAACGTCACTGCAATGTCCGGCGTCAAAGTGCGCCTGGTTTCCAGTAAACTATGGGCTAATAGATGCGTTTGCATATTTTAACTGTTTGAGTCTGGATGGAGCTGCCACTGGAACATCAGGGGGTTGCAGCACAGGGTTTCTTTTTGCGCAATAGTTTTCTCTCAGGATATGGTTTATTAAAAACATCAAAAGAAATCATAAAATAGCTTTACGCCCCTAACTTTTCAAATGTTTTATTGGTGTTTTATGATTCAAGAAACACTCAGACAGACAGAGAGAGAGAGAAAATATTGTCTTTTAATTTCGCCAAAAAAGTAGATCAGGGCTGAAATCAATTAATCCATTGGAGATATTTCACTTATTATTATCAGGTGAAACTCTCCACATTATGAGTCCAACTTTAAATCCACTCTCACTCAGAAAATGATTTGTTAGTCTAGAGAGAAGTTACACTATTCTAGATGCAGTAAAATCCCGTGCGTAATTTTACGCATCACATTTTAATGTATGTATCTGCGCATACTGCGAGTAAACAGAGAGGTATATAAACACACGTGGCACTGCAGGCCCGAGCTGGACTTGACCTCTCTGTCTCGCGCCTCCACTAACGCCTCGTTGGTTCTCAGCTTATCGAGGTTCAGCTTTAATGTGCAGGAACCAAAGATGTGTTTTGTTGGATCTGCTGTGATAGCGAGCTTATAGTCTAATTTACACTGCGGCCAATAAAATGAAGCGTGAAGGCAGCAGCGGGGTTCTAATGAGATAAAGCAGTTAGAGGATTAGCCCTGTTTGTTTTGGATGTTTCTCAGCGGGAGGCAGGAAGCATAAATACACTACTGCAGGGTGAGATAGAACAAATATTTGGATAGATGGATAGATAGATGGAAAGATAGATGGATTGATAGTTTTTTAAATTGATGGATTAATCCATAAAACTAATAACGCACGGCGCAGTTTGTAAATCATAACTCAGTTGATGTTTTCCCTCCCTTTGTGCCGGCTGTTTTTATCTGATATGATGCCATCGATACCGTCTCACTTCATCATTGCCAAGTCGGAAGCCTCCTTTGTAAATACTCAGGTGATAACAGACAAAATACAGGAGCAGAACAAGATGGGAAGAGACTGTGTTGGAATTTGCTCGGAGGCCCCAGCAGCGGACAAAGCACAGAGGTGGGATCCAGAGCTCCATATAAAAGCAAACTTTTGGAGTGATACGAGCAGTCTTTGCACCAGGAAATAATCACTTTATTTGACAAAGGTGGATGAAACTCCAAAATACGCATTATCTAAAATTCTGAGCAAAAACACCACCATTGATAGAGTGCGTAAAATCGACATTGCACCAGCATTAAATGAATAAAAACGCAATTTCCATTTGCACATAGACGAGATAGAAAACAGTATTTATTGAGAAACTCAATGAATCACATTTCTGCAGCTACTACAGGATGTTTTCTTTTGAGGAAGCTGTTAACCTTTTTGAAGCATAATTGGTGCATTTAAATTCTTTAAATTAAAAAACTAAGATATCATGATTTTAGTTACAAAATTCAAAAATTCGAGCATCTTTTAAAACCAATTTGATCCAAAAGGAAATAAAACTGTTCGCTTTTTACGCACGTTTGCTTTAATTTCATGCCTTTTCTCTGAGGGACTTTCACGTGCTGCAGACTCAATCCCAAGGAGTTTAGCACGTTTAGACCCAAGCTGACAACAAGTAGACAAAGTGAGCAAAGTATGTGAACAGCTCTCACTGATTAGAGGATACAGGCCTGAACACCCGCAGCCCCGTTTCTCTGACAGATGGAAACAAAACAGTGTGAACAGAGTGTACAGTCAGTCACATCTCTCTGCAGCTGCTGCTCCACTATCTGTATAAACCAGACCACTGTGTGCCAACCGGCATGAAAGTGCGACCATCATAGTTCTATTCAGGGTTAAGACAGAATGAAAAGTTAATTAGACACGTTTCTGAAATTATAATTGATTTAAGAGGGGCCTTCACACAAAACCAGCCGTTTTGTGGATTGTGGGGTGAAATTAAACTGAACCGAAACTTTTCCAAAAAGCTCTCAATTCCAAATGTTATTGTCCAAGTTTTCCAAATTACCACTCAATAATTCAAGCGACACTAACTTCCATGTGTTCTCATGGGCATGTTATTAGAAAAATCGCATGAAACCAGTCACTGAGCACGCTGTTTTCGTTGGTTTTCGGAATTTGCTGCAGGCATATGTTCCACCGAAAATATCTTTTTCTGCACCAAATTAAAAAAGGAAAAGTATTTCAGTGCGTTATTTTCTTCTTTAACTGACGCAAAAGCTCTGGATGTTACATGCCTATCTGTTCGCAGAAGGTTTCAACATTAGAACAAGGATGACAGGGCCGCAGAAGGCAAACGTCTGGAACGTCGTATTCAATTGTTGTGCGCTTTTACGCACGAAACATAGCGAACAAGTTATCCTCTGTGTTAAAAAATATATATATTTGAATATAAAATAATCAGAGTCACGTGACTGAGGACGTGTTTTAATATCTAGGTGATAGATTTGACCATCATTTATTTCTGCACCGTTTGGATTCTTGTGTTTATTTTTGTCTGCTGTTGTCTTTTCCAGCTGAATCCAGAGCCTCTCGTGGATGTCAGAGGCCTTTGCGCTCCTGTGTGTCCTGTTGTGGTTTCATGACAAATCACCAACCCCCCAAAACTCTCCCACCCACGCTCTTTAAATGGCACGAATCTCCTAAACTCTAAAACTCCACGGCTGCAATAAAAGTGTTCATCGCTTTATCTTGGTGGACTAGTAGCTGCTGCTGCTGCTGCTGCTGCCATCTTTCTTATCCTCCTTTTTTCTTTTTATGCTTTTCTTCTTCCCTCAGAAGTCAACAAAACGAGATAATCTCAGCTTTGATGATTTTATGCTCTTGTAGCTGTACTTCAGATATTTATTTAGAGAATCCGGTCTGCGCCACAATAAGACCGACACATTTAATTACGCACTCACATCATTTAACGGATGATAAATCACGGCTGAATCCACTGATCATAAAAACAATGATTTTCACATTCATGTTGCGTGAGCGAGGCTGCAGGGACCGAGGCGGCGCACTCCACCTATTAAACCCAATCCTATCTAAATATTAGTCCGAGTCCCTGAAGAAGAGAGAGAGGAAGTGAGCAGTTGACCGCTGACAGCAGAGGGCCCGGGGTGTCCGCTCTCTCCGCGGGGGCTTTAGGAAACGCGCACAGAGACGCAGGTATGCGGGAGGAAACGTTCAGGATGGAGCCCCAACTTTCTGCAGGCGAAAAAAACACATATAAACAAAATACTGAGAAATTCAGATGTTTGAAAAACCATAACACCGAAAAGGATTAAGATTTGAATCACTGTTAATGCTTCTTGGATGTCCACCAATTATTAACGCTGAAGAGAAACTGTGCAATCTTTGTTGAAAAATATGTCATTCTCTGTTATTTTTTTAACTTTCCTTTTTATTGCAGCAACACAGTAATTAAAAAAATACATGCATTAAAAAAAAAAAATCAGTAAACTGTTGTGGTTAGTGGGGCACTTCCTTTAACGATAAGAATGATTATATACGTGGTTTTGATTTACCTACTAACACATATAGTGATCTTTTTTTCGTACTTGTCAATATTTCTGCTTTTCTGCTTTTGCACAAAGCTGAAAAAGTTCAATCGTTTTTCTTGTGCAGGTGCAAGCAGTCCTCTGCCTCACAGCACCATTACTGATCTAATTCTGTCTGTTGGTTAAATCAGTGAATGCCTTCATTCAGCCATCCGCTCATAGAAAATTTCCACCTCCGCTCCTGAAATGAAAAGTCCACATAAGCGCAGATCCTAATGAGAGTTTTTCACTGAGAACGTCCAAACATGTGACCGCAGTGATGAGTATTTGTCCGATGTCTATCACTATTTGTTTTTCCTTATTTGTAATTTGAAGGTAACATCTGTCACTGAGTGGTCGGTTTGCATATCTAGAAGAACTTTCGCGGTGTTGGTTGGTGCCATCATGAATAAATAAAATGTTAAAACCCTTCCAATGGAGTACGAGCTTGTTATTTTGCACAGATACGCTTTATCATCTACACGGGGCTGATTAAAGTGCAAAAGGTATTCACTTCGCAGTATTCATAGTATAGTATAAAAAAACATTCCATATTTTAGTATAAAAATGTATCAAAGTATAGTATGACAAGAAATGTCACAGTATAGTATGATAAAAAATATAGTACAGTATGATTAAAATGTCATAGTATACTATGATAAGAGTTTCAGATTTTAGTATGAAGAGAAGTTGGACTATAGTATGATAAAAAATTCATAATATAGTATGATAAAAACTGTAATAATATAGCATGATAAAAAATGTCATAGTACAGTGTGATAAAAATGTCAAGTTGTAGAATAAAAAAGTAATAGTATATTATGATAAAATATCAAAGTGGAGTATGATAAAAAGATCTGCTGAGGCATGAATGACACTGCAGTGTGATGGTTAGCACTGCTGCCTCAC